ATACAATAGTATCAATAACTTTTATATCCGGGAACGTTATCAAATACAATAGTATCAATAACTTTTATATTTGAGTATGTTATCACATACAATAGTATCAATAACTTTTATATCCGGATACGTTATCACATACATAGAGGATATTGAATGAGTGTAGTTTCATACTAAATTTATTGAACGAGTTGAATAAAATCATATTATGCGAGCCTCTGGCGAGCATAATATTGTTTTATTCAACGAGTTCAATGAATTTAGTATTGAAACTACACGAATATAATATTCTATTTATCACATATATAAAATAAGAACAGTAAACTGTTAAAATGAGTAATTTTTCAATGACGCGCCTACAGTGTAACGCTAACATTAGCGCGCTTTAACGCTATGTTTCTATATAGCGCAAATGACGTCACGTCAAAGTGTTATTACACTAGTGTAATATCGTTTTTATTACATGGCTTTATTACACTCCTGCGCCGCGGTTTATGTGATAATATAGTATCAATAACTTTTATATCCGGGAACGTTATCACATACTATAGTATCAATAACTTTTATATCCGGGTATGTTATCACATACTATAGTATCAATAACTTTTATATCCGGGTACGTTATCACATACTATAGTATCAATAACTTTTATATCCGGGTATGTTATCACATACTATAGTTTCAATAACTTTTATATCCGGGTACGTTATCACATACTATAGTATCAATAACTTTTATATCCGGGTACGTTATCACATACTATAGTATCAATAACTTTTATATCCGGGTATGTTATCAAATACAACAGTACCAATAACTTTTATATCCGGGTACGTTATCAAATACAATAGTATCAATAACTTTTATATTTGGGTATGTTATCAAATACAATAGTACCAAAAACTTTTATATCCGGGAACGTTATCACATACAAAGTATTAATAACTTTTATATTTGGGTACGTTATCAAATACAATAGTACCAATAACTTTTATATCCGGGAACGTTATCAAATACAATAGTACCAATAACTTTAATATCCGGGTACGTTATCACATTGAAAAGGGAAAATAACTTTTATATCCGGGTATGTTATCTTTTCAGCACTTTCTTGTTAAAAAAAAAAAGGGCGATTAATTTTTTTTTAAAAGTCTCGATGCAAATAAAAATTTTAAAAGAAATTTTTTTAAGAATTTATTTTAATTTTTTTTTCAAAAAATAACTTTTAACCCTGGGGAGAAAAATCCTTTGAACAATTTGCAAACTTTATTTTTTTTTAATTTTAATAAAAAGTAAAAAAAAAATGTTTTAATCAAGTTAAAATTTTCTTTAGATTAATATCATATAAAATCATCATGTAGCAAAGTGAATTTTGCCCCTTAAACCCTTTCCCTCAAAAATTTTTCTTTTTTTTTTAAAAAAGCTTCTTATTTTTTGTGTATTTTATAGTTTCCTAACAGTTAATGATTGGCTTAATTACCTGAGCTATGTTTAGCTTCTGTTATTTTTTGGCATTGAATACAGTTTAAGTAATTGAGTATTTTGTATAGAAGTCAAACTACTACTTTGTTTACATTTTGAAATTTTTGACAAATTGTTTCACATTTCGCGCTAATTTCTTCAGGTAGCAAGCATCTAACTTGCTCTAAACCAATTATATAAACGTAATTAAATTCCCCTTTGTCATTTCTTAATGTAAAAATGTATGGGATCTGAGGCATAATGTGGCCTTAAATACAAAATATTAAATCATTTTTACTTTATTCTTGGCCATTAAAAAAAGAAAATATGATTTACTATATAAACAATGAGTAACGTTTCGAAAATTATTAAAGAGCGACAGGGATGAAATTTAATTTTTTTGAGAAATTAAAATACTTTTGTCTTGATATGCCTTTAAAAATTAAGCATTTTGAGAAATTAAATAGTTTTTGCCTTGATGTGTCTTTAAGACTTAAACTTTTTGATAAATCAAATATTTTGTTGCCTCGATATGCCTTTATAATTTAAAGTTTTTGAGATTTTGAGAAAGTTTTGAGCTTGATATGTCTTTATATTTAATCCTTTTGGGAAAGTAAAAAGTTTGTTGTTCGTGGCATGCCTTTTATATTTAAATATTTTGAGAAATAAAATAGTTTTTTGCCTTGAAATGCCTTTTCAAATTTAAACCTTAAAAAATTTTGGGCGTTTGATATGCCTTTTAAATTTCAACCTTTTAAGAAATTTAATATTTTTTTGCGGTTTGATATGCTTTAAAAGCTTAAACCTGTTTAGAAATTAAATAGCTTTTGGTTTTGATATGCCTTTTAAATTTTAACATTTGGAGAAATTCAATCGTTTTATGGGCTTGATAAAGCTATGCCTTTCAATTTAAACATTTTGAGAAATTAAATCGTTTTGTTGCTCTCGACATGCCTTTAAAATTGAAACCTTTTAAGAAATTAAATCGTTTTTGGATGTGGGCGGGATTGATATGGCTTTAATGAGCTAAAATTGATATTTGTTATCAATGGGAAGTGAACGGAACATAAATACTTTCATATCGTTCAAGCATATTTCCGTTCTTTATTAGTACACTTAAATTGGTTATAAGTATTTTATCGTTAGTTCATGGAATTTCATTTCAATAATTCAATATGAATAAGTTTTGTTTATGATTGAAAGCATTTGTTTTTAAGGACGTGAATAAGTAAAGTAACAAAGTTAAAATATTTTGTTTGAGTTTCATCAACACATAGTTTTTAAAATTGTGTCTTTATGTAAGTAGATTATTTATTTATTTATTTATTTATTTATTTATTTATTTATTTATTTATTTATTTATTTTATATTTATTTATTTATTTATTTATTTATTTATTTATTTATTTATTTATTTATTTATTTATTTATTTCCGTAGGGTTTAACAGTTAAGACTGGATTATGTTAATTAAAATTCGCTCTTAAAGAAATATACAAACATGCATTTCCTACATCTTTATTCATCTTCAGCTTTATTTAAACTATAGTCAGACAGTTCTGTAAAGTAAAAATGCTTGTACATGAATAGCGGCGTGAACGGACATTAAGGAATAAGTTGAATGAAAATGACTGACACGTGAAAGTTTCAAGATCTAAGTCAAGCAAAATGATACCAGTTTATCGCACTTTTATGTGTAATATGATATCAGTTTATACCACTTTTATTTATAATATGATATCAGTTTATACCACCTTTATGTGCAATATGATACCAGTTTATACCACTTTTATGTGTAATATTGATACCAGTTTATACCACTTTTATGTGCAATATGATACCAGTTTATACCACTTTTATGTGCAATATGATACCAGTTTATACCACTTTTATGTGCAATATGATACCAGTTTATACCACTTTAATGTGCAATATGATACCAGTTTATACCACCTTTATGTGCAATATGATACCAGTTTATACCACTTTTATGTGCAATATGATACCAGTTTAAACCACTTTTATGTGCAATATGATACCAGTTTATACCACTTTTATGTGCAATATGATACCAGTGTATACCACTTTTATGTGTAATATGATACCAGTGTATACCACTTTTATGTGCAATATGATACCAGTGTATACCACTTTTATGTGTGATATGATACCAGTTTATATTAATTTTATGTGTAATATGATACCAGTTCATACCACTTGTATGCGTAATATGATACCAGTTTATACCACCTTTATGTGTAATATGATACCAGTTTATACCACTTTTATGTGTAACATGATACAAGTTTATACCACTTTTATGTGTAACATGATACCAGTTTATACCACTTTTATGTGTAATATGATATCACTTTATACCACTTGTATGTGTAATATGATACCAGTTTATACCACTTTTATGTGTAATATGATACCAGTTTATACCACTTTTATGCGTAATATGATACCAGTTTATACCACTTTTATGCGTAATATGATACCAGTTTATGCCACTTGTATGTGTAATATGATACAAGTGTATACCACTTTTATGCGTAATATGATACCAGTTTATACCACTTTTATGTGTAATATGATACCAGTTTATACCACTTTTATGTGTAACATGATACCAGTTTATACCACTTTTATGTGTAATATGATATCACTTTATACCACTTGTATGTGTAACATGATACCAGTTTATACCTCTTTTATGTGTTATGTGATACCAGTTCATACCACCTTTGTGTGTAATATAATACCAGTTTATACCACTTTAATGCGAAATATATTACCAGTTTATACCACTTTTATGTGTAATATGATACCAGTTTATACCACTTTTATGTGTAATATGATACCAGTTTTAACCACTTTTATGTGTAATATGATACCAGTTTATACCACTTTTATGTGTAATATGATACCAGTTTATACCACTTTTATGTGTAATATGATACCAGTGTATACCACTTTTATGTGTAATATGATACCAGTGTATACCACTTTTATGTGTAATATGATACCAGTTTAAACCAATTTTATGTGTAATATGATACCAGTTTATACCACTTTTATGTGTAATATGATACCAGTTTATACCACTTTTATGCGTAATATGATACCAGTTTATGCCACTTGTATGTGTAATATGATACCAGTTTATACCACTTTTATGTGTAATATGATATCAGTTTATACCACTTGTATGTGTAATATGATACCAGTTTATACCACTTTAATGTGTTATATGATACCAGTTTATATCACTTTTATGTGTAATATGCCACTTTTATGTGTAATATGATACCAGTTTATACAACATTTATGTGTAATATGATACCAGTTTATACAACATTTATATGTAATATTTGGACAGAATTTTGTATATTGTGCTAAGCTATATTTGACTAGGAGGGGACTTAATCTAATGTTTCTAGAACTTGTTGCCCAAACCATTTGCTTTTTGCTATACACTCATCATTTGTGTAATATCTTGCATGTATTTGATACAATAAATAAACTATGTTTAAACTAAACTTAGCTATATTTGATACAAATTACGACAAGTTGCGTGAAATGGGACGTATCGCAAGAATGTTGTTGTTGTTGTTGTTGGCCTGCTATATAACATATGGAGGAGCTTTCTTTACCAGTAAGTACCTCACACCAGATTAATACAATATCTTTATAGTTCTTTGTTTGCGAGTTCAAGTAATAAATTTTTGTTCAAAACTTTAATGTAAAGTAATTTTAGAAGTCCACTTTGCACAAAATATTAAGTAAGATGATGTAATTTCTACAACTTGATGCCTATATATGTCACATTTATTGACTTCTTTGCATGTCACACTATTTGTCACATATATGTCACATTTATTGGTTTATCTCAACATGTCACCCAAGCTCGCTCGAAAGATATGATCATTCATTTTGGCAGCAGCAGCTTATTTTTCTCCATGATGCATAAAAAATGCTCTCCTTGATCTCTCGTACATCATATTGGTAAACATCACAAAAAATCAACTTGCATACATATTAAGTATAATTCAGTGAATAACTGTATTCAAAATGTATAGGTGACATTTAAGGATATGAAACAAGGGACGTCATTCATGTGAATATGATTAGATAACTCCAGTCTAACTAGCTTGACAAAAAGTATGTATTGTAAATAAATAAAAAAAAAACGTTTCATATAAATATAAATATAATAACACAATAAATTGTTATCAATTTTATTTTAAGTACTTCTGATATACGTTGCCAAATTCGACTGAACTTAAAAAAAAACAGTCGGAAATTTTTTACTCGTATATAGTGAAAACAATGGCCTAAAATGGCATTGTGATCTTTTTCTCTGTCAAGTTGAGCTGAATTAATTTCAAAAGATGGATTATTGTATTAGTAATTGACCAATTAGAAATAAAAACCATTTACTATGTTTGTGATATAATATAAAAGGGCATAAATAATATAAAGACTGCCCCACTTTTTTTAAGAATTGAAAGTTACCGGTACATTCTAAACGTTATTTATAAATATTTTCTTCAGTCATATGAATTATTGGTTATATTTTTCATAGTAAAATATAAAGTTGAATATCATGACTGCAAAATGTCAGGTTATTTTTAATTTTACATGTTCGGTGATCATTAACACTTAAATGGACATTTCTTATATCACTTTTAATTAACAATGAAGATTTGCTATACATGTATTTAAGATCTCACTTTCCCGGGCAAACATACATTATGTTTAAAGCTGCATGCCTCCGGTTGAACTAAAATATTTCACGAAAATCAGACTTGAAAAAAAAGAACTGAGATTTTAAGGAAAGTAAAAAGATTGAAAATAAAAGTAAAAATGTTTATGTTATGTGCGATTTATAATCGATTTTGCAGTATTTTTCACCATATTTCTACTGCGTTACTAACTCATTAAGGGCTATATTTTGTATATTTCGACCTCATAATTTACATAGATTGTAAGTGCTGTTCGCAATGTAAAAATAATTTATTTGTTCACGTCACAATACTTTACTTTATTATTTATTTTCATTTTTTTTATGTAAATAAGCACGAATCTGGAGGCGTGCTGCTTTAAAGCTATCGGAGAATTATATGTATTCTAATTATTTATTTCTTCCTTTCTGACGAACAGATGTACAGAAGAGGTTCAACGGTGAATTGTTACCGGCCGATCCGCTCGTGTGTACAACACAGAATGTTACTTTCACATGTGTACTGAACGACGACCCAGTATCGAACTTTTCCATTGGCTTTACCTTTAAAACTAGAGAAACAAATGGAAAATTTGTTACTGTAGATCAGAATAGAGTCACACATATAAACGAGACGATGGCTCAATATACGGTGACCTCTATCCCGCCTCTTTCGGATGTCAACAAGCCCTACTTCATGTATGTTAAAAGCTTTTACTGGCAAGAAATCGGCGATATTAATGAAACATTACAGCTTGGAACCACCACTTCAGTTCGTGTTTACCGTAAGTTCGTATTTTCCAAGTTCGAGTTTACCAAGTTCGAGTTTACCGTAAATTCGTATTTTCCAAGTTCGAGTTTATCAAGTTCGAGTTTACCGTAAGTTCGTGTCAACCGTAAGTTATGATACATTTTTGTATATGTTATCAACTACATTGTCAACCATAGGCGCAATACGTGTAGGAAACAATACGTTATCCCTGATTTGAAGATATGCCAACAACAAAAACACGTCATTTAAGCTACGCCTGATAAAGTAAAAACTTCCAAAAGAACTATTCGTACTTTTTTTTTTTTTCAAAAAGTATGTCCACCTATGAAGAATAACAAAAAGTTACTGAGTAGGTTTTTGTAGAATTTTGATTACGAATACACTAAATTTGCTACCTTTATAGAACATCACTTTGAACGATAAATGCAATAAAAGAAAAAGAAAAAGAAGTCAAAAGATTACTTAAAGGATTGCGAAAATGCGTCCCTTTTCCTTACATATATAATTCGCTTATTGTTGCGGCTAATAGATTGTCAACAAACTTATTCTATATGAAAACACATAAATTTGAGAAAAGAAAATTCAAAAGAAAAAAATAAAGGAAAAGTAACACTAACAACAAAAAGATAAAAGAACATTTTAAACCACATTTGCTTGGTCTTATAAGGGTACAAAAATACAAAATAATTACAAAATTAATTCATTTTTTTCAGCAATGCCCGAAGAGGTGAAAGATTTTGCCTGTATCGTGAATAATTACAAGACGATGATTTGCTCCTGGAAGTACGGGACAGATTACGGCAATTACATGCCGGAAGTCATCTTTTTGTGGTAAATATTTTTAGCTGCATGGCCCAATGGTTACCATGTCGGATTAGTAATTAAAGGATTTCGCGTGGATTCAAACCCCTTGAGCTAGAAACTTTACACTCATTGCTAAGTACTGGTTGTTTCCAGGAACGGATTCGAGTTTTTAAATAAGCTTATAACTTCCTACGCAATCGAATTAAAATAATTCCGTACGTAATAAGTTCATGTATAATAGTAATTTAGTGTTTTGTATGGAAGTCAAAATACTGTTTTGTTTACATTTTGCTGATTTTATAACAAATTATTGTACATTAAGCGCTTTTTTATTCAGGTATCAAGCATCTAGCATTCTCCAAATTTATTATAATATTAAACATTATAAAATTAATGTTTGCTTTTTCTAAAGAAGAAATTATTTGTTTGTTTCTGAGGCATAATGTGCGACATTATAAAACTAATGTTTGACCTTTCTACAGCAGTGATTTTTTTCATTTCGGAGGGATGACGTGCCTTTCATGAATAATTTTAAAAGGAACTCAAAAAAAATTATTAGCCCCCTTACATTATAACATTAATGATATGAAGTAAGTTAATAGATAATTATATTAATTTATAAATGTCAATTATACACCATTTTTATATTTAACCAGTGTCTGCTTTATCATCTGTGACAGTCATTCTTCACTTTTATTCATGGCGATTACTTTTTGCAGGATAAGGCACGAGTGATTTTATAAAGATTTTGTCTTAAGAGTAAAGTTAGGACTATTCCTAAGTACAAGAGTTAGGACAGTTTCTTGAAACGCTCCTAAGTTTAGTCTTATGTTTGAGACTTACGATTCTTTATGAAACGCACCCAAGGAGAATAGTTCATTAAAAAGAGTTTGTTTTTATTTCAGGAGGATCCCATACTACAGTACATCTTGGACCGAATGTAAATACTTAAACACCAAAGATGGGTCCTGCACATGGAATGAAACAAGGGCTGGATATTTCAAAAATTCTAACATCACCATTAGACTGACGTTGAAACAGCGGTGTAAAATTGACGTCACTTCCGAGTTTCATATAGATACGTCAAAAATAGGTTTGTTTACATTATATGTGTTGTACCTACGCATGTATGTTACCCATGTGTTCCATATTCCATCCATAGAAAACATATATTAATTTATCCAGGGGCTTTTGAGAAATATACTTATGTTAGCAGGTTGTACAGAAGTGGGTGTATTGCATTGTGATACTGTATAGTTATGAAAAATGCATTATTTTTGTATATCGAACATTCTAACACTCACGTGATTTTGTCCCTATAGACAAAGAAGGAAAAAACTGGTGTTAAACTGCCAATAAGCACCGGTTAAGGACTACTTGTATATGCGCTGTTATGTTTTCATCCTCGATTACATAGTTTACAAAGCATTTTAAAGCAACAATAAAAAACATTTTTATTTATATTTTCAGTTCGTATAATGTTTTCTTTTCATACAATACCGAAATAGTATCTCACATACACTAACGCCACAATCGTCATATAAGATCCATATATCAGTTAATAAATATTTTGACAAAAAGGTATTGTCGTTTTGATGCGACAAAATTAAACACTCAGGCCTACGGCCTACGTGGTCAATTCCTACGCATCAAAACTCCAAACCGGTGTTAAATAGCCGATATACACTTCTCAGGCCGATGTTATTTCTTAAGTATTTTTTACTTTTTACACTGGTGCTAGAAAAATCTGTGATGCTTATCATCTGTGCTTATCATCGGAACAAAAAGCGCGCAATTACAAGTGATTTGTTACAAATATGCAAAATGTAACCGAAGGAATATTTTGACTTCCATACAAAATAATAAATACCTTTTAACTTTATTTACTTTAAATACTACAAAAGAATCTAAATAAGGTTCAGCTATTTAGTCAATGACTATTTCTTTGGGCCACTGAATCTGGACACTAAATCTATAAAGAGTTTGCCAAATCAAAATATTAGCATTTTGGAGGCTTATTGGCCTTTTACATACAGTAATGCTTTCCCGCCAAAAAAAAAAATCTAACATCGGCAAATATCGTAAAACATCGGTCATTTCCGTTATTTTTCACAATATTCGGTATTCAATAAGTTTTGACCTTTTATAATAAATATATAGAACATAGCGATAAAGGAAGAGTGATTGTAATTATTAATCTCATTCCCCGGATTTTGAAAAAAATTACATTCCGGAAATAACCGATTTTCTACGATATTGGCCGATGTTAGAATTTCTTTGGCGGGATGACTACAATAAATATTTCACTTGTCGTCTGATTCTTAGAAAACTATTTATATAACATACATCCTAGAGTTTATATTTTGACTTCTACAAATAGTTATGATAATACATAATGTATCGGGCTGATTCAAATGATACATGTAAATAATATTGATTACATGGAAATCGAACATCTTTCGTCCTCACACATCAAAAATATGAAGAAGAGTCATCAGGTACTTCAGCAATGATAAAAGTATAAAAGATTAAATATATCCTTAAATGTACACGTCGATTTCTACAAATAGTTTTATTATCTGTGTTTTGATATCCGTTTCATATTAAAATTAATTTTCACATCGATATTTGAGCCGCGTCACGACAAAACCAACATAGTGCGTTTGCTACCAGCATAGATCCAGACAAGTCTGCGCATCCGCGCAGTCTGACCAGGATCCATGCTGTTCGCTTACCAACTCTATTACAAGTAGAGAAACGGATAGCGAACAGCATGGATCCTGATCAGACTGCGCGGATGCATGCTGGTCACAAACCAATTATGTTGGTTTTGTCGTGACACGGCTCATGTATATTTCAGTAAAGCCGGATCCTGTTTCCAGTATCAGATCTAACGTTATAAGCAGTACTTGTATCACGTTGCTATGGAAGGCCGCAAATTCTGGACCGTTTTATCCGAAAGAACATTTAATTACAGTGTCGAGTCGTGGAGTTGCTGTAACTGTACGTAATTTAGTCCATGAATTTGTACGTTTTAGTCCATTTAACTGTAAGTAATAGTCAATGTAACTGTACGTTATAGTCCATGTAACTGTACGTAATAGTTCATGTAATTGAATGTAATAGTCCATGTAATTGTACGTTATTGTCCATGTAACTGCGCGTAATAATTTATGTAAATGTACGTAATAGTCATGTAACTGTATGTAATAGTTCATGTAATTGTATGTAAAAGTCCAAGTTACTATACGTAATATAGTCCATGTATCTGTATGTAATAGTCCATGTAACTGTATGTAATAGTCCATGTAACTGAACGTTATTGTCCATGTAACTGTTCGTTAAAGTTCATGCACTTGTACGTAAAAGTGCATGCAACTGTACGTTTTAGTCCATCTAAGTGTACGTAATTGTCCATGTTACTGTACTTAATAGTCCATGTTACTGAACGCAATAGCTAATTTAACTGTGCATAATAGTCAATGGACATGTACGCAATAGTCAATAATACTGTACGTAATAGTCCATATAACTGTACATAATTGTCCAGGTTACTGTACGTTATAGTCCGTGTAACTGTACGTAATAGTCTATGTAATTGTACGTAATAGTCCATGTAATTGTACGTAATAGTCCATGTAACTGTACGTAATTCTTCATGAAACTGTACGTTATAGTCCATGTAACTGTACGTAATAGTCTATGTAATTGTACGTAATAGTCCATGTAATTGTACGTAATAGTCCATGTAACTGTACGTTATAGTCTATGTAACTGCACGTAATTGTTCATGTAAGTGAACCGAAAGTCCAAGTAAGTGTACGTAATAGACCATGCAACTGTATGTTATAGTCCATGTAACTGTACGAAATACTCCATGTAACTGTACGTAATAGTTTATGTAACTGTACGTAATAGTCCATGTAACTGTACGTAATAGTCCATGCAACCATGTAACTGTACGTTAAAGTCCATGTAACTGTACGGTATGTCCATGTAATTGTTCGAAATAGTTCAAGTTACTGTACGTAATTGTCCATGTAACTGTACGTAATAGTTCATGTAACTGAACGTAATAGTCAATGTAACTGTACGTAATAGTTCATGTAACTGTATGTAATAGTCTTTGTAACTTCACGTCATTTTTAAGTAACTGAACGCAAAAGTTCAAAGAACTGTACGTAAGAGTCCATGCAACTGTATGTTATAGTCCATGAAACTGTGGGGTATAGTCCATGTAACTGTACGCAATAGTCCAAGTAACTTTACGTAATAGTCCATGCAACTGTATGTAATAGTCCATGTATCTGTACGTAATAGGTCATGGAACTGTACGACTGTACGTATTACTCAAATACAACTGTACGTAATAGTTTCTGTAACTGTACGTTAAAGTCCATGTAATTGTACGTAATAGTTCATGTAATTGTACGTAATAGTTTATGTTACTGTATGTTATAGTCCATGTAACTGTACGTTATAGTCCATGTAACTGTACGTAATAGTTTATTTAACTGTTTGTAAAAGTTCATGTAACTGTACGTTATAGACCATATAACTGTACGTAAAAATTTTATGTAACTGTACGTAATAGTTCATGTAACTGTACGTTTTAGTCCATGTAATTGTACGTAATAGTCTATGTAAATGTAAATTGATCATGTAACTGAACGCAATAGTCCAAGTAACTGAACGTAATAGTCCATGCAACTGTACGTTATAGTCCATGTAACTGTACGTAATACTCCATGTATCTGTACGTAATAGTTTATGTAACTGTACGTAATAGTCCATGTAACTGTACGTAATAGTCCATGCAACAATGTAACTGTACGTTAAAGTCCATGTAACTGTATGTTATAGTCCATGTAAATGTACGTAATAGTCCATGTAACTGTACGTAATAGTCCATGCAACTATGTTACTGTACGTTAAAGTCCATGTTACTGTACGTAATAGTCAATGTAACTGTACGTTAAAGTTCATGCAACTGTATGTTATAGTCCATGTAAATGTACGTAATACTCCATGTAACTGTACGTAATAGTTAATGTAACTGTACGTAATAGTCCATGTAACTGTACGTAATAGTCCATGCAACTACATTTTCGTAATAATTCCATGTAACTGTACGGTATGTCCATGTAACTGTACGCAATAGTCCCAGTAACTGTACGTTATAGTCCACGCAATTGTATGTAATAATCCATGTAACTGTAGGATATAGTTTATGTAATTGTACGTAATAGTTTATGTAACTGTATGGAACAGTTCATATCACTGTACGTTATAGTCAATGTAACTGTACGTTATAGTCCATGTAACTGTACGTAATAGTTTATGTAACAGTATGTAATAGTTCATGTAACTGTATGTTATAGTCCATGTAACTGTACGTAAAAGTTTATGTAACTGTACGTAATAGTTCATGAAACTGTACGTTTTAGTTCATGTAACTGTACGTAATAGTCCATGTAAATGTTCGTAATAGTCCATGTAACTGTACGTTATAGTCTACGTAACTGTACATAATAGTCCAGGTAACTGTACGTAATAATCCACGTAACTGTACGTAATAGTCCATGAAACTGTACGTAATAATCCACTTAACTGTACGTAATAGTTTATGTAAATGTACGTAATAGTTCATGTAACTGTACGTAATACTTCATGAAACTGTACGTAATAATCCACTTAACTGTACGTAATAGTTTATGTAATTGTACGTAATAGTTCATGTAACTGTACGTAATAGTTCATGAAACTGTACGTTATAGTCAATTTTACATTGAAGAAGCCATATTAACTGAATACTTGTAATTTCTCATGAGAGTAGTGTTACTCATAAACCTTGAGAAAGGAACGTGATAAATTACATAGTATACATGAAAGAAAAGATGAAAACGTAATTGTTGTATTCTTATTGGGTGGGATAGGTACAGAAAGGGATGGCAATGTCTTATGAAATATAACTCAATTCAAACGATATGTTATGCTTCAGAAATTCATATCTTAACTATGCTTTAGAAATGTCAAGCATGCGTATAATATTCTAATAATGAATTTAAAGAACGATAGATGTTTAACAGCTGAAGAAAGAAGTGCTGAATTTGCAGTACTGTGTCGTTAAAGTAGCAAAATGTAAACAAAGTAGTATTTTGACTTCCATACAAAATATTAACTCACTGTAATTATACCAATCGCCAACAGAGAAAAAGAAGAAGAAAAGAGTTCATCTATATGACAAATGAGTATTTTTGAGATTTTTTTTTTTTTTTGAAACTGTAACAAGATAACAAAATTAAAAAGAAAGGTTTTAGGAAAACAAATGATAGCATTTTTGAGGCATAATGTGCCTTTAGCTTACTTATATTTCACATTTCAGAACAGCACGCTAACGACGACAATGGACAGCGAACAATTTGAACACACACATACGTTTTGTGGTCTGCATCCATACACAGCATACAGTTTTAGCGTTCGCATTAGACCTACTGGTATTTACTCGGGGTACTATAGCGAACCTGTTATACATACGTCCACGACTTATTCCGACAGTAAGTTTGTTTGTTTGTCTGTTTGATTTTTGGGTTTTCAGTCACACAGACACAGGGTAGGTCATATGGCTTCGTTCCATCCTTACATGTGGAGGAAGACCTTAGGTGCGCTTCCGTGCATTATTTCAGGCACGAACGGGCACTCGAGAAGAGCCACTGACGTTCCGTAAGCTAGCTGGATAATTTCATCATATGAAAGAATCCAAAGTCCCTGTAGGGATTCGAACCCACAGCGGTGAGGGGCAGGTGGTTTGAAGTCAACGGCCTTAACCATTCGGGCACGGACTGTTGCTCATACAGTCCTTACTTAGTAACTCGTGTATTTCATATTTTAAATCATTTTGATGGTCTAGATTTTGGTTACACAAGGTCAAGGTCACTTGTGCGAATAGACTTTTACTATTTAGCTTTTTATTTCTTACCAATGTCTTAGTAACTTACCTTGGGTGGCCCTATTACCTTTTTTTTAGCAGAAACATCCCTTGATATCGCCCCAGCCAGTGTTATATCCTCGTAACTAACTCGTTTCATGTACTATAACTATTTCAAAGCAAACTTATAATTCATTGTCCTTATCTTAAATTGTGACATGAGTAGTTCCAAGTGCAAGTCCCGATGTTACAGATTACAGGTGGGACCAAAGAGAATGTGAAGATGGAGGAGAAAAAAGACTGGTGTGTTTGTTTTGGAAGGTAACAAAAATACTATCATGAACTAGTCTTACTTTATTCTTATTTCTAAGATAATATAATTAGTAGAAGAAAAACGAAACATTATAGTTACATTCTATTATATTGTATCATAGTTTGGGGACCTGTCTGTTGAAAATGTCAGAGTTAAATCGTATACATATACATGCACAGTGCGTTAACTGGAGTGCAGGTATTAGTAACCCGCACTCCAGAGCATGCCCATTGATTGGCTCATATTTGCTGGGGTTTACTAATTGTGACGGCAAAGAAAGGGACAGCGACAGAAATATCATACTCAGATGCTAGTTGATTGGTTACTTTACTTCTGGGGTTTCATATTGTGACAAAACGGAACGTGTTCTTATGTTTGACTATGATACAAAAGAGAAGGAACATCAAAACACTCGGCAATCTGATTAATACTCGATGGCTACGCCCTCTCGTACAAATCAGATAGCCTCGTGTTTCGATGCTCTTTCTATTACTTATCACATACCCGTACTATATGGCGATTCCGTAAAAATGGTATTGCACGATCGTGCATATATTTGGCGTGACGTCTTTTGGGTTATACAATCATAGTGTAAAGACGCGCTAAACTGTAGGCGCGTCAATGAAAATGCATGGCCAAAACACGATTTTTGGAGAAGGGGCTTCAGCCTTTTTCTCGGGGAAAATATGCATGACTTTGGCATACTTTGGGAAAAGGGTCTCACTTTTAACACAAACTTTTAAGTTCTTCAAAATAGAAAATCAAAGAGCACTGGGAAATACTATAATAAGGCAGTAAAAGACCTTTATTTAACACGGTCATTTAATTTTGTTGTAAAGTCTATGAGAAATTCCAAAAGACTGATGAATTTTGAGTACCAAACTGGGGAAACAAGAATTTGGTTGGGGAAGCAGCCTATATTCGGTTTTTTGGCCCTGAATGGTTTAAACTTTTTAAACGGTCTTTATTTTGGTATGACTATTAAATTCGTGTAAGTTAATTTATTGAAATCGTTGAAAAAAACAATATTATGCTCGCCAGACTTCGTGAAGTTAAAATCGGGAATTCATGGAGCTGAAATCGTGAATTCATAAATTTCGTATGTTGAAAACGTGAATTCACGAAGTTAAAATTGTGAATTCATGAAGATTAAATCGGGAATTTATGAAGTTGAAATGGCCGTGTCGGTGTTTTCTAATTCATAGTTTGCTGACTGTTTTTCCAATTCTTTCAGCCAATAAAAGCGGAGAATCAGAACGGACCAATGAAAGGGCTGCAAGGTGAGTTCACGGCATTACCACCTGCCAATCATATCATCAAAGAGGACTGGGCGGCGGGAGTGACGTATGGCTGTTCTTATATTCTGTGTAACACGAGTTATCTGTTCACGATAAAAGCAAGAAATATAAATGGTACATCAAAACGAGGCTCAGCTGTTACCATACCAGCCTTTGTGTCAGGTACTTGCATTTTATTATTTTGATTTTGGTGATGGTTAGTTTAAAAATACATTTTAACATCAGTTTACATAAGAACAAAGTCTCAGAATTCGTCATTTCACGTCGTTCTGATTTGTTGACTTTCAGTGCTTCTATTTCTAAACTTTTATAAATGTGAATACGAAATGTTTATTCTACATCAATTTAATGAAAAACAATGAGAACCCATGCTTGGTTTAAGTTTGTCATTTCACATTTGTAGGTTCCATCATAGATGTTGACCATGAACTAAATGTTGGACATGCAACTCCAAACAATGTAAGTGACTCTCTTTTTTTTTTTTTTCTTTAATATCTGGATCCTAAAATAACATGACAAACCAACGGTGGAATCATTATATTATAAATGCAATTTAATTTTGAGGCCCATTCAATCCCAAAATAAGTTTTTTTTACTCTATATAACTCAAATGCTTTTTTTAATACATTAAAATGTTTGTTTCAGTTTCCAAAGTACTGATTGGTCGTATATCTTTTTTTTTTAATTCGTGAAGTTATAATGATTTAGTCATTTTTGCTTTTTGCAAAACAAAATACCACTTTGTTAATGTTTTGCTTATTAAAAAAGAGAAATCATTTCACATTCAATGCTTGGTTTTACACATGGTTATAATCAATCATCCTCTATATTCAATATTTAAACAATAAAAGTCTCCAATTGCCACCAATTCCAGGGGCATTCCCAATATATTAAATGCTATATATAAAATAAGATTATCTCATTTTTCTATCATCATCATAAAAACTGATAAAAAATCATTTACATATTGATGGTATAATGATATTTTCCTTCATATGTATATTCACCTATGCACGCCTAGTTGTTTTTTGGCGGTGCACGACATTTCGTCGAAAGACATCTCGCCGAGTACGATAGTTTGTCGAATATGGCATTTGGTCGAAAGTTAACACTACGACCATTGATCGAAAATAAATTTTTATCGCCGTTCTTGAACGGCGATATTTACAATTAACAAGATTTGAACAGTTCTACCTGTACATCGTCTGTCTTTAACCAATCAAAACGAATAATTTGATATCACATGATAACAAAATGGACGTCAAAAACTTCGGCTTCGCCAGAGAAAAAAACACTTAATGTTATAATGCTTTTTTGTTCTATAGGAACAGAATGTTCCGCCTGTTGAAGTCACTGGTACAAGTATTAATGGGGAAGCAAGCGGTAATGGACAAGAAGATGACGGTATACCTACATGGGTTGGTTACCTGTTAAAAGAAATATCTGAAGTAAAACAACAAATGAAAGTTGTCGGCAAACTAGAGTATGCTGTACAAAATATTAGTAACAGAATTAAAGATATTGAGGGAATACTCAATCGATTCGAAACACGCCAAATGCAGTAACTATTAACTTGATGGAGATGATAGATGTGACTGTTTATTGAAAATCAACGTACTGCAATAAATGTAATATCAGTCCGATGTAAATTTGATGAAACATTTTCTATATAAGCAAAACATGATTTGAAAGTTTATTGTTATATACATGTGGGAATCTTACTCATTGTTAAATTTGATTCAAAAGGAAATTTTTGGTTGCATGTGCTTTATTATTATTATTTTATAGCGTGCGAGCGTGCGTCCGTGTGTGATTTGTGTGTGGTTTTTTTTTTCTCTTTATCATTTTATTTGTTTGTTTGATTTTGATACATGTTGTTTCAACGTGATGTTTTGTCTTATTTTGCTAATATCGAACAAAATAGTCGACTGTTAAATGACTCAAAATATGTAAATGGTAATGTTACTGGTGTAGAAAAGTGATGAATAAAATTAAAGATATACTGTGCTTTTTTCCTGCCAAAAAATTCTAACATCGGCCAATATCGTAAAAAATCGGTCATTTCCGGAACATTATTTTCCACAATTTCCGATATTCAATAATTTTAACCATTTATTATCGCAATTTAGTACATAGCGATGAAGAATGAGTGATTGTAAATAATCTAATGCTCAAGATTTTTTTTTAAAAGAGTTCCGGAAATATCCGATTTGCAAAGATATTGGCCGATGTTAGAATGAGCATTACAGAAAGGCTATGCTCAAAAATAAAAAAATAAAAAACATTTATTGCAGAATTTTTTAATTTTTTTTTGAAATCTAGTTTATTCTTTCTGAATATGTCTAATTTTAAAAAGTGAATTTGTAAACTATGTTTAGGAAGCAGCATTCCTATAACTTGACAAATTAAGTTGGTCTATCCTTATAAAAACTGCCAGCGTTATTAATGACACTATGTAATCATACGGTGATTACAAGAAATGTGTGTAGAGCTTAAAACGTAAAAAAAATTTTTTTCTTTATTCAAAAAATGTTTAGGTTACATTTTAAAAGAGACTGTATAGAAATTATCTTTTTTTTTTTTCAAATATCAAATTTAAGCATTATATATCTTTAAGTAGGTCGTCATTTTTTCTCACAGATCAATGCATTTCTGACTAAATGTAAAACAAAGCTAGAATCTAATTACTTAACATTGCAATAGATATAAAGTTTTGTATTAAAATCACAATCACAGACGATTAAATCAGAAATAGTTTTTTTAAGTAAGGATTATACAAGGCACTTTTACAAATATCTTTTGATTTATCTTCTATGCTTTTTTACAAGTTCTCTGTCGTTTTAAAAAAATGCCTTCACTATCTTTTGAATTAATCATTTTATCAACTTTAGACAGATGTTGTTTTGTTTCTTTGTTGTTGTTGTAAGATATATATTTAAATCTAGTTATAATGTACCTGTCTTCAATTGTAAATTTGTAATCTATGTGTAAATAACCTATTATTTCAATACTCAATTCCTTATCAATACATTTAAGAACCTTAAATTGTCTTTTTTTATTTTCCTCGCAAGAATGTAAGTTTACGAATGTTTGCTCATCCGTACAACAATCTGTTGTTTGACGAGTAACAACAGCATATAGTCTCAATCGCAACTATTCGGTCCTTTCCGCCAGTCTTCGGATAACGTTATTATGAATAATAGCCGAGGATGTTCCAATCGCAATTCCTTTCGTCTTTGTGCCATTATTAAAAGAAAACAACAACAAACAAAAAACGTACCCTGTTTGTGCTAGAATAATTATTTTTTCCATTTCCTGTATTTATTTATTTATTTAAATAGAAGTATCAATGTATTTATGTATATATTTTTCCCCCTTACCCTTTCAGGCCTCAAATAGTGAAAAAATGCTCTATCTAGACCACAGGGAATCGGCACAGTGTTGGGATAGTGTAAAAAATTAATTCTAGAAAAAAAACTTATATACTGTATATATAATATATAGACAACGGGTTGAACTCGCCAAATCGGCGGAATGCCACTCGACCAGTATAAGTCAAAATTGCAAAGTCATTCTTATGTTAACCATATAAAGCTATATATCAAATTGCAGGTAAATGACATCACTAGACGTTGACAATAACATAATTGTCCCCACTTACACCGTTTTTGAACAACAAACAGATATTTCGGATGGAATTTCGTATTTCTGCTAGGTCGGACACGACCGTGCCCCCACTCGATTTTCTACGTGTAAAAACGCAATTCCAAACCAACACAAATAAAACCAAAACCAAAGTTGTAAATCATCCGCTATTGTAAGAAAGACATTAATTTCAATGAACAAATATCTTATTTAGGTAAACCATTTTAAATATGAAAGAATAGAAAGAATATGACAGAATATGCAAGAAAAAATATCTGACACATGTTTGCGGTTCGGATCGAAATATCCGTCCCTCGGGTACCCGACTTTAGGCGGTAACACGGCAAGCCTCGCTACCGCCCAATGGGCTGGGTACCATCAAGACGGATATTCCTATCCAAACCGTAACATATTACATTATTCTTGCATAGCAGTCTGGCGTTTCCGTTAGTTTTAACAATGCCTCAAATTTCATCTGGCAGGGGGTGCAAAATGAGTCGCGCGCTTTACAATGGCGTCATTTTCGAGCATTTTATGAATGTACTGCGTTAAAATGACGTCATTTTTGTGTATGAAAGAAGGGAACTTTGTGCTTAGAATGTCGTCAGTTCGCCGTTGTTTTTAAAAGTTGTAAATTCTCTGGTATTGTAAGAAATGGATGAAATGATACTCATTTCAATGAACAAATATCTTGCTGAGGTAATCCATTTTAGTGATGTAATATTTTGGCAGAATATGCCAAAAAATATCTGACATATACGTGCGGTTCAGATCGAAATATCCGTCCCACGGATACCTGCCCATGGGCGGTAACTAGGCAAAAATCTTGTTATTGCCTCCTTTGCCCTCACAAGTAAGATCTTTATATGAACCTATATATATATATAAAGATCTGGAAAGGGTGATCCCTCGGAAAGGGTGATCCCTCAACATAATTACATGAAAATTACAGATATCATGTTTGATTGAGTCTGTTTATGAGGAATAATCATCCCTTACATCCCCTAGCACAGGCTTGAGCGGTACTTACTTTTCAACACTTAAAAGTACTTAAAGCCAAATAAAACATTAAAAAGAAACAAATCGAAATTGAGCTGGAAGGAAATTAGTATGTATTTATTAAAAAAGAGCACTTTCATATATCAGATTGAAACTCCATCTGTTCAGAGAGGTCGATACATTTAATTATCTTTTGACAAAATATATATACATTTAATCATACATGTATTAACATATGCTGCCTCTATAATTTGAATATATTAATATATGATATTTAGTTTGGCTTTTAAGCAGTGTGGGTACAAAAAAAACAACCTGGACAAAATGCATGTACAAGGCTAAACGCACTTAAAATAATGAGGATTTTAAGCAAATGTTTATCTGACTATCACAAACTTGGCGCAGTATTCTGTGTACTTAGTGTGATATTCATAATGGATGTGTTTTTTGGACAACAAACGGTACAAATTATGTTTATTTATATTTTTACAAGGAAAAAATTAGTAAAGGCCAATTGTGCACCAGAAATTCTTTTATTTTTAATTCTCCTATTGTAGTTTTCAAAAAGTTACTCATTGGCCAATAACCTGAACCATCTTCAGCTTCTCTGTAGATTATTTTGGCAATTTGTACACCTATAGTGATTTAGTATTTTGTATAGAAGTCACACTACTGCATGACTTGAACTGACATTACATTACATTTTGCTACTTTTATGACAAATTATTTCGTATTTGGTGCTTTCTTTTTTTCTTTAAGTGATATGTATTAACCAAACTCTGAGAGCATCTTGAGAATGTTATAAAACATACGTTTACTGTTTCTAAAGAAGGAAGAATTTTTTTGTTTCTGAAACATACGTACGTACGTTAAAGACACTTAGAGTAAAGTCCTCGGATATGTCCCTATAGGTTATAATTTGACAAAATGTCACCTATTTATTTTAAATTAATTTGTTCTCTGGATAATTCTTAATCTTTTCGGTGTCTATCTTTATGATGTTTACTATTTTGAGACACGGGAGACCAATGAGATCCTTACCTGAAGAAAAATACGGTGTTGCTGTAAAAAATTGATATCTTTTGGACAGGATAGACTGACTGAGAAGGTTTTGTAAACCTTTGAAACATTAATTTCAATATAATACATAAAATTAACAAAGAAGCCACAAAAACTCGAACATTCAGTAATTATATATTGCAGACATTTCGCCTATATGCCTTCATTAGTGCAAAACAAAATAAAATTACCGTAAACGACGTCATAGCGGAACATGCGTTAAACGCGCGAAAAATGTTATATAGCGTTTAGCGGCAAACTATAATAACATGTAACAAATATTTGTATTATAAATAAAGCTGGTACATAAATGAAATTGATCAATAGTGATACAGATGTCTATTAGACTGTGTTAACAAAAGGAAGATAACAGATAAACATATTAATATTCATGTAATGATATAGAACATGTCATTTTATTTTATTTTGTTTTGAATTTTCACTGAACGTAGCTTTAGCCAAATGGGGACTGGTCTCAACTCTATATCATATTTCACAATTAAATTGAGACCAGCTCAAATTATTGTATTTGATAAATTTGGGGCCATATACCGTTTAATTCTAAAGAATATGTCTTATGTGGGGTTGTGAAGAAAAATGATTGTATTTGTGATAATGGCTTTAGCTTGAACAACTTTTTGTGAACTTGGCTCGTATGTTTTACTTCGTCTTTATGCATTCTTAAGGGCCTTAAAGTGTCCAACCTCGTATTATCCGCTAACTTAATTCGTGGAAAATGAGATGGGTTAGCGATCTATGCGATGATTTGTGAATATATTGAGAGAAAGTTCGTTGCATGTTGAAAATTCAAGCGAAAAGGGTAACGAATACCTGCGACTTATGCGAAGAAATTGAGAGTTTTCGAGACATTTTTAACTATCTCGCGAATGCTTACATTCGCAGCCCAGTGTGGCAGGAGTTAACGATTACATGTCAAATAAATCCACAACAGTTCAGAGGATCTTTAAAAAATCTGGACATGATGTTTCAGGATCATACAAATGCTGCGTGTTCATCTAATAATAAATGCTAGCAGGAGACCTATTTGACTCAGATTTGGGTAAAAAAACATCTGAAGTTCAGACTACCATGTGCCTTCCAAACCCTAAAAAGACTAAAAGTTGACGACATGTCACAACCAGGTAGACGGTTGTAAAATATTTGTGGAGGTAGATGATATATGCATACTTTTATGGCACGAAATCAATGAAATGATAATATCGCGAAAATGATTTTAAAAACCCAAACCCTTGTCCACGAGCATAAAGCATGGCTCTTGATACAGAAATTTTTCAGTATAGAAATAAACGTGGGCTATTGCACTGCTAGCGAAAATGGACGGCTAGTCTAATAATTATGAGTTTCTGATATCAGAACGGATAACAAAAGTAAGCGGGTAAATTAAATTGTTGCCTATATTTCATTGTTCCCCTAGCTTGCATACCATCTCAGTGAAACGTTACAAATTGCCGAAATCTTTGGGGGTTTTTTCGTGAGCTTGGAGTTTAAAAAACAACAAAATATAACAAAACAAAGTATAACAAAACAAACCATAGCAAAACTAAACATAACAGACATACAAATAAATGAAAAACAAAAACATTTGAAAACGAAGTAGAATGCATGAGATTTTTATGTTTACAGCAGAATTTTGGGCACACTGTACCAGTGAAAGGATTGAACAGAGAAAGAAAATTTTGCAACGAAAGTGTATATTCCGTCTTACCGAAAAGTACCATAATTAATGAAATGGATATTGACACGTTGTATGACACAGTGTCAAGGTAAGTGTATGGCAAATACTTGTCCTAAATCTATGACAGCCATTTGGCATGATTGGACCGCTTAAACATCCTATACAAAAGGGGAAGTCTGGAGTTCGATTTTCGTAAAAAAAAAGTTTTGTTATGTTTAAAGCGTTGAAAGCTTAGACTGTCATTGACCCGTTTTCACCTTCATATTTTGTATAATTGCGCACATCTGGATCAGCGGTAATTTACATCTATGTTTTACTGATGCACAGTTTTGATGTCCATAAGGTATTCCATCCCATGAACATTGCCGGATTAACATTTGAGCCGCGTCACGACAAAAGCAACGTAAGGCGTTTGCGACCAGCATGGATCCAGACCAGCCTGCGCATTCGCGCAGTGTGATCAGGATCCGTGCTGTTCGCTATCAGTTTCTCTACTTGTAATAGGGTTTGTTAGCGAACAGCATGGATCCTAATCAGACTGCGATGATGCGTAGACTGGTCTGGATCCATGCTGGTCGCAAACGCATTACGTTGGTTTTGTCGTGACGCGGCTCATTTACTCTTCTTTAACCGCAAGTGATTCAGTAATTCACCAGTTAATCCATATCGTAGCTGTTGGTAGTTTTCATTCTGAATCACGAAAGTAAGTCACATAGAATTTACCAGTGCACAGTTCAGCAATCGCATTATTTCTGGGAAAGCTTTCAAGCAATTTACCAGTACTAGTTGACTCTTTTACAATAAACTTACAGCTTGCGCATGCAAGTGCAGAGGTACATTGCAAATAACCGTTGTTTTTTATAATCTGTCACAACAAACATGACCTGCGCCGTCCGGAAATCTATCCCGGGTCGCTCGATTTTAAGTTCAACGCTCTACCTATTGAGCTAACCCGAAGGCTTCAACATTTTGTACCAAGATTGTTTCAGTTTATTGGGCTGCCCTAGCTTTGTGCTGTTAAAATATGAATTGTATTTTGACATCTCTTAGTTTTATGATAATTAATGTTATGGAACGGACTGTAAGATAAAACCACACATTTTAAAAACGTATACATGTGTATTGTATTAATTAATTCAAAAGCAGAGCTCATCGTATAATAAAACGCAAGGGCGTTCTGTAAGACATGATAGTCTATCATAAACAATTCTACCAAACTTTGAACTATGAAAAAAAATCACGTAATCATAAACGGCTTTGGTTGGCTTTTCGTTGTTTTTTCTCTTTTTAAACTTAGTTACATTTTATCAATGTGAATTTCAGTTATGTAACAAGTCAACAAATTAAATGTTGCAATGAGACCAGAGTGGGCCCATATAATGCATTTGGCAAGAACATCTGTTCAGACTATTTTCACAATGTTCGGAATACATGCCTAGTCTATTCGTTTGGGTAAGAATATTTTGCTTAGTGGTGGTGGTGTTGATAAGAGTTTTCGCTCCGGATCACGGCAGTAAGCCACATTGAGTTAACCAGAGCACATTTCAGCCACCGCATCGTCCCTGGGCAAGCTGTCAAGCAGTTTACCATACTAGTTGCCCCTTTCACTTTTGCAAGGAACTGAAACTATAAATGCCAGAGCAGTGCGAATGACCGTTTAAAGGATTTGATGATCGATCACAACGAAAGTGACTTGCAAAGTCCGGGAATCGAACGCGGGTCTCCAGATTCATAGTACATAGTTCTAACTTTTGAGCAAACTGTTTGGTTTCTTTGGCTTAGTTGACACATCCCCTCATATATGTATGGATTTAATGAGACGCTTATGGGGTACAATAAATACGGAATATGATATGCAGAGCGTTGTGTCAACTAATCAAATTAATTATGTATTTAATGAAGCGCTTATCGGGTCAACCAAATCAAGTAAAAAATTGCCAGATCTTTTGATACGTTTTCGCAAAACTATTTGTTTAGGCGATTTTCACAAAGTCCGAGATATTGTGTATCGTACATTTTGTAAAGGGAATTTTTACACATGGGTCTGTTTAAACTTATTGTAGCTTCTATATATATTATTCCCAAATCACATTTTAGAAAGTTAAGATGATTATATGCAAGGTACATTTATAACCAGAAATTATGTACATGCACATGTTTCCGGGATTGTGAGCATTATTGGTGGTCTCGTCATTTTAGACAAAACTTATTAAATGTTATTTTAACAGTTATCTCTCATTTTGAATAAGCTGTGTTTGAGAATAAATGAACTTTTAAAAGTAGTTTTAAATTTTGTAAAATATTCAATGGGAGGAAGCACAGTTCACATTTCTCAAATATCCGAGAAATTTAACAAGAACCTTTAATTCAGAAATTCCTTCAGATTTAGTTCCGTTTTTTTCACACGATTAGACAAACTTCGGATTTTTTTATCCATGCAATAGTTACTATTATTGCATTTACAAGTTTATTAGCTGAAATACGTTCGTTATCAGTTTTTCTACTTGTAATAGACTTGGTAAGCGAACAGGCTGGTCTGGATCCATGCTGGTCGCAAAACCATTATGTTGGTTTTGTCATGACGCTGCTCAATATGTAAATATCTTTGGTTTTTCTTCATTTAGCTCACAGATGCATTTCGAGTTTGAAAATTCCATTTGGAAAGATTACAGATGTGAAATTCATACGTTTGACCCCAGGTAATGTATGGTTATGTTATACATCTACATTTATTCGAAAATTGTACAATATAGTCTTTGTTTGATTAAAGATAATTATTCTCCTTATCTTTGTGTAAAATATTTTTATTGCAGATTTTTTTCCTCTTTTTTTTTATTGAAATCTATAAAATTCTTCCAGAAAGAATTTCTTTCTTTTTTTAGAATTTTATCTAAATCTAAATAAAAGAACGTACAGACAATGCATGGGAATCTGTGTTTCTTAGTATGGGTCATGTAACAGTAAATATAATGTTCTTTTAAACAAAATACTGCTGCGAGAAGCTTTATATTCATAGCTTGTCCACTTAAGTGTGTAGGATTTAAAAAATAACATTTTAACATAAAAACTTTGAAGCAATTACTAATTTTTGCAAATATTTAATTTGAACATTGTATGTCTTTAAGTTGGCCTGTTTTTATGATTAAAGATTATTAATGATTGAGAGTTTTGCATTATTTTGAAGCAAGATAATATTTATTATAGACGTAGAAATATGATGATCTTATTTCTACTTCTTCTTCGAAACAGCTTTTATTAAGTTTTAAAGATGTGTATGATAAGTGCATGTGCTGGGATTGACAAATGTACATTTTTATTTGTATTTTATGGCGTTTGGAGCGCCATACCCCAAGTGATCAAAAGCGGCAACCACAGACAAAAGTTTTTGCAACTTTTACCTTTACATAACATCAAAACAACCAGAATGTAGCTTTAGATACCACGTAACTTGAGTTTCGTTTCGTTCCGGTGCAAATCCGTAAAAAATGAATGTCTTAAAGATATGCCTTACTAGACATAACACATTCGTTCCGGTGCAAAACCCGAAAAAAATGAATGTCTTAAAGATATGCCTAACTGGACATAACACAAGCATTCAAAATAAATCTCGATTTTTGTAGGAGTCAAATCTGTATAAAACATAATCATTGCAATCATCATTTACAAAATTACGTGATCAATTTAATCATTATCACTTTACTATCTATACGTACTACAATCATGTAAGGCTAATTGCTACAACCTATCCTTTTTGTTAAATCAACACCATACTTCTTTTCAGCCTATCGACAAATGGTGTGAAGATACCAAAGGGAGTTAACTTTCACCTCATCGGACTTTCTGATAGTGATTCTATGGTTCCGGCACCGCCCACTTTAAGAGACTTTTCAACTTGGGAAATGAAATCTCTGTCATCCATAAGACGGTCACTAAATCATAAAAAGGTTTGTGATCATAACAATTTTTCAAACGTTGGGTTTTAATGCTTTTGCATGTTACGGACCTGTAAGGTTCTTGCAATAATGATAATTGATGTTCTTTGTTAAATAATAGATTTATCTTGTATAATCTAGTTCCTGGATAGTTTATAGCATTACGTAGTGAGTGAAGTCGTACACCCATAAATGCAACATCCTCGTTGATTGGCTCTTGGGTTTACTTAATGCGACGACAGAGAAAGGGATAACAATAGAAAAGTCATATTCAGTTGCTCGTACATTTGTTACTTTTTTCTCGGGTTTCATATTTTGACGACATCGATTTTTTTTTCTATGATACAAAAGTGAAAGAACATCCAAAAAACCTCTGTATTGTAATTTATACTCGGGGACTATGTACCCTCAAACAAATCAGACAGCTTCGCGATGCTCTTTTTATAACTTAGCTCTAGACTTGTTATCAACGCTTAACGAATATGACAATTTTTTTTCAGAGATATATAGATATTTTGAAGATCGATATTGAAGGCTGGGAATGGAAAGCTTTACCTGCCGCCATACAGTCACGTGACCTAAGCTATGTGAGACAAATTTGTTTGGAAATTCATTTCGGATTTCAGTTTAAGAATGTATGGCCTGACAACCGTGAAATGGATTATAAACAACTTTCAAACACTACATGGGGCGATGTTACATTTGCCAATCAAATTGAAGTGTTGAGAGGTCTGTATGACAACGGATTTAGGATTTTTCGATGGGAGCTTGTCCCAGGTTGCAGAATGTATAAGTCAAGAAATTCTCAAAAAATAATCAATGTGCTCGTAGAAATATCGTTAGTGAATATACATCGTGAAATGGACGCCATAGAATCACGATGAATCATTCTTTAAAGATCCTGTAACACAAATTTGTTATGGTTTTATATCATAAATATGATGCTCAAATTAAGATTTATCAATTTTGTAAGTTCTAAAAAGCATTTTTTTATAATGATATTAGCAAATTTAATATTTCATGACCTATATGTAAAAATATTTGCAGTACATATTTTACATGTTCTTCGATGTTTAAAAATTGTTTTATAAGCATAATTACATTGTATATACATATATATATATAATTTCACTAAAGTGTGGTATACAACCTCAATTACAACATACATGTACATGATCTTTAATTTTTTTAGACAGTTTTAACAATAAACTTATTTACTGTACATATATCAATTGACTATGATATTAGATTTTAAAAATATATATATATATATATTTATTCTTTTTTCTTCATTTTGTTGGGATTAATGTAAACGTCATGCCCTTATGTTCCCGTTTTATTTGTACATGTATATAAAGGTTTATTTTCCTGCATTATTTCGAATTTAAAGTATATGTATATTTTTATTCCTTTCTCTTCATTTTGCTGGGGTTAATGTAAAGGTGGTGCTGATTTTCCTGTATTATTTGTATAATACGATCTAGGGTTTATTTTCCTGTAGTATTTGTATAAGACGATCTAGGGTTTATTTTCCTGTATTATTTGTATAAAACGATCTAGGGTTTATTCCCCTGTATTATTTGTATAATACGATCTAGGGTTTATTTTCCTGCATTATTTCGGACACAAGACTGTGGGCATCAAGGCTACAACCAATGACCTGCCGACAACTATCAGTACAGTTTCCTCAAATAAAAACTTTGACTTACAAGATAACTGTGAGTCATGGCTGAAAAATTCGATTTAAAAGTGACATTATGCTCATTCAACAGTATATATTCAGTGAAACTGTGGAAGTCGAAATAAGTTAATACTCTGCCATAATCCAATTACTTTGCATGAATCATAAATTAGTCACGTGGCACAAAGTAATTTCTTCAAATATCTTTCGGAATTCATTTGTAATATTCAATTAATAAAAAAGAGTGGGTCAGTATTTTTATATTTTAGACACAGTTATATATTTTATCCGTTACAATTTCTAATGTTAACATGTCAATATTTAAAAATTTTGAGGATAAAATATATAAATCTTACAAACAACTCTGAAAATTAAATTCAGTGTCAAAACTAGGCGCGAAAAAGGTCCTTTTCACTTTACACAAAGTAGGGTGATACTTTCCCTATAGCATTAGGAAATTAAATTGTATCGATATTCTAAATTGTGAAGCGATATTGTATCGATTTGTTGAATATCGATGATATATCAATGCCGATATAAAGTATTGGGCAACTTTAGATAGCCACCACACCTAATGTTGCTCGACTAAGCTGAACCAACAAGTAATAGAAAGGGAACATTATGTTCCGGAAAGTTTTATTCTGATTTTAGGACAATCACGTGTGTTGAATAACAGAGATATTTCCTGTTATATTTTTTTTTTACGAGAAATTACCATTAGGTTATGAATTCAAAACAATGTTTTTACTGTTGTTTTTTTTTTAACTTTTTACATTTTTTTTTCATCAATTATAGCTTGACACACTTTACTTGCAAGACTAATGAAGATGACTATATGAAATTAAGTAATGCTTTCTTGAGAATTATGCATAGCCAATCATTGAGTTTTGACCAAACTTCACAGTGATTTGATCGGCTACGCAAAGGGAGACCACTGCATCGGAATTTGAATTTTGACCGATACTGATTTGTGTTCCTTTGCAAACATCGAGAATTCTTGTTCAACTCCAATATTCAAAACTGCTGAAGTAAACATGAAAATTATTACGTCTTGTTTTCGTTACGTTTGGAAAAAAAAAACAACAGAAAAGAAAAGTAAGTAGTTTATCATTATTTTATATTAAGAAAACAATGAAAAATGTTCTCTGAGTAAGGAATGTCTAATTATCAACCTTAACAAGAAAAACAAGGCAGGCGTTCATTGAACGCAAACAAATCTGTTTCAGACGTATGAGACATTGTGGCGAGTATATATAGTATCACATACCGAACTCAAAGAAAGTTTTTATTAAGAAAACAATGAAAGTGTTCTCTGAGTAAGGAATGTCTAATTATCAACCTTAACAAGAAAAACAAGGCAGGCGTTCATTGAACGCAAACAAATCTGTTTCAGACGTATTAGACATTGTGGCGAGTATATATAGTATCACATACCGAACTCAAAGAAAGTTTTAAGCAAAAAAGAATCTTTTTTTTATTGACGCCCTAAAGTATGACTACAAAATTAAGCGCGCCTTATGACGCAAATGACGTCGCAACCAAATATATGCATTGCCACGCCATTTTAACGGAGTCGCCCAAAAGCGGCACGAGTATGTGATAAAGCTATAAATTACTCACTGACAGAAGTCAATAGAAAAATGTCCAATTCCATCTGCAGCGTACACAAGTTTTGCTACAGAATTCTGTGACTCGTGCTGGATAGTCCTACAACAGAGAGATTTGGTGGAACAGACATTTTCTCATCGTTTCGAATGACCGTATTTCAGGGGTCAATGGCCGTGACCTTGGGTTTTGCATGAGGAGAAAAATCCTTGATACGCTAACGTCGACTGCATTGTTGAGTATATCTAATATATAGATACGCTTTATATGGTGTTACTTATGTCGTAAATTGTGCGTAAATATTAATGGCATATTAAGCCTCAGTTTCATATGTGATTTGGGAACAGTCAAACTCTTGGCCCCGAGGTGGAGGGGATAGTGTTTTGAACTGTTGCCCAAGCCCCTAGACCGAGGGCAACAGTTCAAAACACTTACCTCGACACCGAGGGACAAGTGTTTGACTGTTCCCAAATCACGTATGAAATAACTGTTTTATTACTTGAACAACAATAGTTTTGCACATATGTTAATAATCAAACTTAATACTTTAACTATGTCACGTCACGTCTGGTTTATGATCAAGATCGATGGACGCTTCAAGTGGAAATCCTCTATGCCGTCAATGACATCAGAGCACGCGAGGGAACCGTCGAAACTATTGACCGGTAGTAGTGAAGGGGGGCACTATGGCACAAAACTTATGGCACAAAAACTTATGGCACAAATGTGGGAACATTATGGCACAAATGTTGGAAACTTATGGCACAAATGTTGGAAACTTATGGCACAAATGTGGGAACATTATGGCACAGTTTTTATAGACCTGGGCAACGTACGGTCTTTAATAAATGGATAGGGTGTACTTAAACCCCCTTGACTACTACATAGATAACAACAATGTTGTGTGTACACATTCTTTATTGAACAAAACATTTTTTTATTGAACAAACATTTTTTTAATAAACAAACATTTTTAACAAGATGAACAACATATTAACACAACATTCTTCAGAAATAACAGTCACAGTGAATCATCATTGGATTATAAATCATACACTAGCATCAAACATTGTAAGCACTTAGGCTATTTAAAATAGCTTCCTTTCGCATCGGCACACAGTAACATGACATGCGATTGCAAATCGAGGTTTAGTAATTTGGTCTAGCTATTCATCGATACTCGCTGCCAATACACTTCGCCTTATATTGAACCAATATCACAGACTCTGTTGCTCAATTAATGATCTGTATAAATATATTCAGGTATTCATATGAAAACAGTCCTAATACGATTACACTAGAACTTCTGTATTGAGATTCCCTTTTCTTAAAGCCAAAAGTAATCTAAAAAGCGAATAGTTACGTTAACCCACTTTTCCGTGACATTTACACCTATTTTCCACTTTTTGATTAAATTTTTGGACTTTGATTTGGTTAAAGTATAAAGGATTCTGGCATTTTTCTTTTTTCCCAGGGAAAATGGTTTAAATATGTTCTTGTTTTCAAAAAAAGGTGGTAATCCGTACGAATCAAAAAGGTGGTTAAATCGCTCTTATTTTTCTTTTAAAAAAGAAAAAGAAGCATCACCAATGGTTCTCCCAGGGGCTTGATTTGGCTGTTTTTATGATTTGTGTTGACCCAATGTAAAGCTTCTTTGATGTGTTTTTTTGTTTGGCTCTGGGAAGGTTGATCCTCTGGGGCATACCACCTCCATGGGGAAAGGGGGCGTTCGTAATCGAAAATTGGATTTATTCGGAGGAATTGTATTTGCTAATTCAATTCAGTTTGTCCAATTTTTTCCCAGCGAGTTTCCCAACTTTTTTTCTTTCCATGGCCAACTGATTCCAAAAAGGGGCTGATTCAGGGTTTCTGTTGCGGATAATTGTTGTTGATTTTGTTTCCTTATATTTTCCCTTCAGTCCACTGTAAGAAATTTAGTATCCGTGAGGATAGGAAACCGGGTTTGGGGGGACAATCTGAACCCGTGTGGATTGAGATTAAAAAAAAAAACAGTCCTATTTCACCTTTTTTCAATTAAATTTCCAGATTGATTTTCCCAGTGGGGCGTTTTCTTATGTAACCAATTTCCAATCCATAAGTTGTCGCCTTGAAGGCCGCGCATATGTTTGTAGAATAAGCTAGCCTCGATGCCTTAGCAGTTTCAGACTAGTGGCACATGATCCACACTGACTACATCCAGTACATTGAACTGCCATCTCGATTACTTATGCTAAAGTCCTGTGTTCTCGTACTAAACTATCTCACATAGATTATACCATACTAGATTATTTTATCTCAGTATTCTAAACGACTATCATCTATCTCCCCGCTAATGTACTCATATGAATAAGAATATGTTCCATGTCTTCAATAATCTGTGATGATTTCTCGGATGGTGTTGATTTCGATTTGATTATCGAATTCTGCATACACAATCACGTTGATGGGTACACCAAGACCTTCTGAGAACTGAAGGTCGATTCTCATGTTTCCTGTTTTTATAGGGTGTAGTTGACCTTCCTCGCTTCCTTGATCGGCGGTGAGATCAAATCCCCATAACGTGTATCCTGCCTTGTACTGTCCCAAACTCATTCCGAAACTTCGATTCATGCCCATGGAGCCTGTGGCCTGGTATAGTGACATGTAGGATCTAGCCACCTCGCCATCGGTGAAATTCGGTGTGAATGCTTTGTTATGCGTGGTTTTGCCATCAATGCTGACTTCTAACTTGGATAGGTTAAAGTGTTTGAAATCAAATGGATTACTGGCAGCATTTCCCTTGATGTCTGAATTTCTCACCATCCCGAGAATGATGCGTTTTGGGAGTTGTCCGAGAAACAAGTGATCATCAATTTTAGATCTTTGTCCGGCAGGGATGGTAAATGTTTTCACGACAGCACGTCTAATTGGAATTTTCATGTTGTACTGTGCAATGGCTTGATTCAAGTTGTTGGCCACCACGGGAAGCAGGTCCACTGTTCTCACATTGAATCCTACCTGCTGTATCACCACTTTACCTTCAGCAGTGCCCACAAGACAAAAGTTGTTGGACGTCCTGTTGAGTTTGAGCCTGAGTTCAATACCATTAGGAAGATATTTTTCTTGCAGGAACAAATCTAAATGTAATCGTCCGATGAGTTCACAAGATGCACTCCCTCGAATGCGCAATCGTCGACGTTTCCAACCGTCATTAGCCCCTCCGGTTGTGTTGTCTTGCATGTGTGTCGCTGTATCTTTGTCCCAGAGTTCAAATGCCTTGAGTTGTGTATCTTGACAGTCTTTACTGTAGGACAGTAGATTTTCAATATAAGCCCGATAGGGGTACAAATCTGAATCGCTGGAAACGAGTTTGTTGTTCAGGTACAAGTCTATGCTGCTGAACATACTGTGGAAAAAGTTATTGACCACAGACACTTCTGCATCATTACCCAAATTTGCACCATCCGCAGCTGCGACTACTTTGAACTTCACGTATAAGTAAGACTGATTGAGATCTGTCCATTTCTCTGTCTGTGGTGGAATGATGAATTCAATTGGTGCTGAATTATTCAATGCTGAGATAGGATAATGTTCTGTCCATTGTGCATCTTGCATGGCTGTCATGGTGGGTGGCACAGAAGTAACATCAAGCTCTGTTTTACTACACTCGCAAGATCCGTGTTGCATCATCGTTGTTCTAGTCAAATATATCGATTGGTCTTGAAGACGTCTTGAGAAGTTTACTTCGTATAATTCCTTGAAGTGGATTGCTCCGACGACGCTTGGTTGTGAAATGAGGTGTTTTCTTGTGCGTCGGTTTATTTATACGTTTTGTTGCTCGACGAGGTCTTCTTCCACCTCTGACACGATTGATGAGTGATCTGCCCAATTGCAATGCTGCTGCTTTTCCAATGCTTTTGATTGCTTGTATGCCACGAGTCTTCAACACCTGTTTCGGACTTTTGCCTTTTAAAAGTACATCGGTGATAGCGCCTGTGCCTTGTCTAACTCCTTCATTTTTTATGGCTCTCATCGTTGAACTGACAAGAGGTGCTAGAAGAGGTGTAGTAGATTTGATGGCCGAGTGAAACAAAGACCCTAGACCATGACCATATTGTCGGGGAACGCCTCTATACACGGGATACATGATCAATGTGTTTTCTTTTCTAAAATGCAACTTGACCATAGACTTGCCTTCTACAAAATGAACGACTTCGCCTGTGTCACCCCTTATATTGATTTCAATTTCATCAAAATTGGATTTGGAGATGGGGATGTAATGCAAATTTAAAAATTCTTCATGAGTATGATTTGAATCTTTTCGAGTCGATTCAAAAGGTACCACTCGAAGTATGGGTGCCTCAATGTTTCCGAGGAACGTAAAATCGGCCAGATCGGAATAAATGAATAAATGATTGGTGCCTACATTTAAATCGACACCATAAGGAAAGGGATTTTTGTCGGTGGGGTAAATATCACCCATCATCATACTCACACCTCCTAATTTCATGAGTAATTTCGGATGAAAGTGTAACCCCATCTCAGTATGAGTGCTGTTAAACTTGACACGTTTCTTGGGTGTGGAATAACCAATATGAAAAGTCATTTCATTGTCATGTAAAAGTTTCCCTACAGCTTTTTGAATGGCTTCATCAATTTCGGTGATGAGGTGTTCTGGGGAAGAATACACCCCTGGTGGAATACAGCACGCATAACTGTATTGATCGTTTATCTTCCGACACTGATGTGAAAATTTATTCATTTTCTTGCCTAAATTTAAATCGGTGGTGACAATTTTGAATTTCGATTCTTCTTCAGACACATTTACAATTTGAGAGGGGATAATAAGTTCTACCAAAGCCATCTCCCATTGACCTTTTTCGATATGGATAGGTTTAGCTAATTTCGTTCTAAATTGACTTTGGGTGTTGTTCTTAAAAATGTTGAGTGAGCTGTCACTTAACACGGTGATGTAAAACGAATTCATGGTTTAGGCTCACCCACTGCTTGTGACAATACACCTGGTTTGATAAATTTCAAAGTAGGTGTGGGTAAAATGTAACCGAGCGTGCTGCTCAAAAGAATTAACCAGATGGGGTCTTTTGATTCTAAACAGAGCTGAACAATAGACACGGCTAACACGAAGTAAATGGCAATGATCTGTGACACGTACGTCAATCTGTTTTTCGGTTCTAGAGATTTCGAAATGATGGAGCTGCTTCTGTTGCTCACCTGTACGCTGACCGAATCTAACTGTGGCATCTTTTGTGTAGTGTCTTCCATTTTATAGGAGATGACTGGCCGGAATCCAACTGTCAAATTTACTCGGATAACCTTCCCAGTGTACTTTAATTTCTCTGATCTTTTTTCCGCCTACGTTTCTTGTGCGTCGTGCAAGAACTGATTGAATTTCATAAATCTCAGTGTCTTTTATAGCCTGGATTTCAGGTAGGTAGAAAGATCCCTCAATCGCTTCACCTCCTAAATCTTCCAGCTTGACCGTAGGTGGAGATGAATGACGAATGGATGTCACTTTAAACAATTCTGTTGTCCAATTGGGGAGATATCCTTTATCAAATGTTTTCTTAGTTTTGTTGATGCGAACTAAATCGCCCACTTGAACAGGGAGTGATTTTACTTTGTTTTTCGATCCATACAAATGGCGTGCCACTTCAGGTTCTGTATCGGGTGTCACTGAAGCCGGTGTTCTTTGAATACTGCGATGAAAGCTGTGATTGTAGGCATGGACCATATCCTGAAGCACATCGATGTAACATCTTGTTTTTTCATGTGTGAAATATTTCCACATGCGACTTTTCAAACTTCTTTGAAATCGTTCAACAATGCTGGCTTTGGTCTCTGGATTTTCCGTAGTGAAAAAATGAATCTTTTTCTTCTTTAAGAATTGTTGAAACTCTTTATTTTTAAATTCAGAGCCTTTATCAGTTTGCAGTGATTTCGGTGATCGTCCACTTTTCAGAATAGTTTGAAACGCTTTGATGAGTGTGTTTCCTGTCTTGTTGAAAATCGGTATCACCCAAGCATATTTGGAGAAAACATCAATGACACAAAGCAAATAACGATATTGATCATTGTCTTTCATCAGTTTTTGTAGGTCTGCTAAATCGGCCTGCCACTGGATATCAATACCTCCCACACGTGTTTGACGTCTTTGAAATTTTCGTCGAATCGGTTTGTGCAAGGTGTAGGTCTTCTGTTTCTGAAGCCATGCTTTGATCTGTTCCAATGATACCTTTGGATAATACTGTTTTGCTGCGACTTGCAATTTACGAATGCCTGCATATCCGGCAGGATGGCTTGGATCATAGTAAATGTCAGCAAGAAGCGTATCCAGGGTATGCTTCCCCTTTGCTTTATGTTGTACAGTCATATCAATAAGGTTCCCAAGAGGTGATGTGAGATCCGGATGCTTTTGGTTCGTGTTTTATAGGTTTGACTGCTCGAGGTGAAGGTGTTGCAGGAAAGCTGTAACTCGCTTCAAAGAATTTATCTCCATCTTCATCTTCTACATAATCATCGTCTGAGAGTTGTCTCTGCATCCAAGACCAACGTTGTTTATTTCCAATGTATTCTTGTGGTACATTCATGTCTCTCAGACCACTTGAGAAGTATTCCCATCCTCGGGGGCTTGAACCTTTTCGATGGCGTAAGACATCATTCACTAAATCAATAATGTTTGAACCGTCAATAGGTTTGCCTTGCACTTCCAACCGTCCCTGCTCATTCCATGACATATCGGGATGTTCCTCTAACATTTGAAGAAGAAGTTTAGCTTTACGTCTCATGGTGGTGGGGACGCTGTCCACTATACGATCAAACAATGGTTTTCTGACCACAGGATCTGTACCAGCACCTGCACCAGGATCTGCACTAGGATCTGCACCAGGATCTGCACCAGCACCCACTTTTGTAGGTTTAGGTCGGAGCGCTTTTTTATGTGCCATTTGAAATTGTTGCAATTTTTGTCCATAGAGTTGTGCTTTTTCACTTTCTGACACATGGTCTTCTTTCAGCACAGCATTCATGTCTTGATGTAAATGTGAAGCCTGGGTCACCTGTGGATTTGGTGGTAATCTTGGACGTTGTTGCTGTTCTGATTTCCATCTGTTCATTTCTTCCAACAGTTGATACGGAACAATGGCCATTTTCTTCATATTTTATCGACGAGTTTTCCTACGGTATCTGCTATCATAGGCGCCAACGTTAATGCCAAGATGGGTAAAAATCCACCTTTTTGATTCAAGATCTTTCTTTTCTTGTGAAGAGGTACTCGTCTGTCTGCCAAGAGGCGTAGATGTTGACGGTTCGGTTGCAACTTGCGCTTTTGAGTGTCTGACAACGGTACGTTTCCTTTTAAAACATTGTGACAGCATTCCGACACACAATGAATGACTTCAGGTGGTGCATGTTTAATCATCGATTTCCGAAACTTGGGAGTAGCTTGACTTATCGCCATGATTGTAGCACCATGTTTATGAATCAGAGGCTTCTTGTTCTTTCTCGTCTTTCTGTTTGCTGCCATGATGTCTTGTTTTCAAATGAAGCTCTCTTCAGTCTGTTGTCTCTTTTTATATGCTCAGTTCAGTGGAGAAAATCTGGACATCAGTTGAATGGGGGTCCTCGGAGAACTGTGTCTAAGAGGTGGTGTGTTCAAGACGGGTGTGCTTAACATGGAGCTGGATGGACGAGATCGATGCGACGAAGGTGTAGTGAATCCCGATATCACACTCAAAGGTGACAGATTAATAGATCGTGGTGGTGAAGTTTGATCCAACACCTGGCTCACATCGTGTAAATGTGTTAAGGGACTCGAACTTTTGCTCCTGCTTGGCTTTCGTCTTTTTGTCACAAATCGATCATCAATGTTTCTGAATACTGTCTTCTTTTTCTTGGGTGTTCTCTTAGGTGTTCTCTTTTTCTTAGGTGTTCTCTTTTTCTTAGGTGTTCTCTTTTTCTTGGGTGTCCTCTTTTTCTTGGGAGCTTGACGTCGACTTGTTGATGGTGCTGCTCTTGCTGTTCTGGCTGTAGTGCTAGTGCGAGGTGAATCAAACTTTCGTTTGATCTTTTCTCCGTCCCAGCGTAGTAGATTTCGAATCATAACGCCTCCCAAAAAGCCGCTTCCACCGGGTTTTAATATGATTTTTCTTTTTGCTTCAGCCGTCAGATTGGAATCAGCTAACTGTTCAATGGCCTGCTTGTTCTTGTCTATGAATTTCATGGACTGTTTGGGCAACTTGATTTTCTTCTGTAGAATCAGCTTTGCAGCCAATGTAAACCATTTGACCATCTCTCTTAATCCTGCAGAAAGCACCAGGTTTCTGTGCTGTATGTTGTTTGTTCTGCTAAATTGTTCTAATGCCCGAATGAGCACCGGAGGTGTCCATAATTCGTGATTGACGCTCATGACTGCACCTTGGCAAATGAATGCAAACTGTATTCACTCTTCCTTTTTATAATCGTGTGTATACAATCGGACCTCGATCTTGCTCTGTCACCCAGTGATGAAAAATATCTGACCGTAATCGATACATATCCTGCGTCTTTGGATGAAAATCAATGAGTAAATAGCCATGAGGTTTCGATGTTGCATCTTGATAGGCCGCTAATAAATGTGGTAACTGTATTTGATTTGCGAGTGTCTTGATCTGTCCTTTATCTCTTGTATTTTGAAATAAAATCATGTAATGAGCATTCAGACTAATTGTTCGACTGTCTTTAGATTGCTGAAACAAGTTTTGAGTGATATAAATCACACTTGCATTACGATGATGTCCTTTTCGTGTGAACCATAATTTGATTTTTTCTTCATCTTTATCGCCTAACATGTCGTCAAAGATGACCAAATGTCGATCGGCTGTGTCTGTTACGATATCATCATCGTCGTCTGGAATGCCATCTATGAATTTGATGAAAGATTCTTGACTCTCTTGAATCATAGCATACACGAGTTGCCATTCTTTATAGCACCAAATGATACGTTGTGGTACAAGTTGAAATAAATTCTCTTTATATTCGATTAATCGTTTGACAAATTGTGTTTTCCTGAACCGCTTGATCCAGAAATGAAAATATTGCAAGGATGTTGAAAAAGTAAACTGGATTCCATACTGATCAATGACTCAATGAAAACAAAACAACACATGCATTCTTCTTTATACTTTTATTTTTTTTCAATCTACCATCCTTTACGTTCTGCATGGCGATTACAAAACAAAGTTAACATGTTAACATCTAACTGTTCATTAACATCAGGCAAAAAATTTAGACAATAACAAACATCATATGGTCTTTTACTATGTTCACACCACTCAATACATAGATCAGAATGATACTTAGTCATATAATTTCTCAACATATACAGAAAAGTGCTTCCAACAGGTATAGACAAGTCCCAATACTTCAACTTTGTCATCACGCCTGGAATAGATTTCCACTTCACCACCCGCATTCCATGTAAGTCTAGAAAGTCTGCTAAGGCGGTTTCAATGTCCATCTTTTGATGTATCACACGCAGAGGTAAATTGTCATACAGCCTGCAGTAAGGATCATCAAACTGATGTACTTGTGAAAAGTCAATGTCTAATCCCATTCTGTTGCGAATGTAATTCATCATAAGATAAGCCCATAAATCATTATCGAAGCCAAGATGTACTTTACTGTAATGAGCTTCGTCTACCGTAACGCTATGAGTTGATGTGCTCATCTTGATGGTTGAGTAAAGAATGATGACGAGTCTCACATCGCTTCCTATTTATAACTTGACTCAAAAATTGTACAACTTCAGGTTGATTCACGACTCGTGTTTGCCAATCGCTATAATGCCAATACGTCCAATGATCGCACATATATCGGGCTGCTATTTGAAATTCATGAAACATGTCTGCTTTTTGCAACTGAGTCTCTATGAAAGCGGGTGTGATGCTTTCAGTGTAAGGCGTGATCATGTGAAAAGCAAGAATTAAAGCTTTTCTACAGATAGGACTGTCCAAAACACGTGTGCTTCCTTCCATGTTTCTGACTTATGAATGTAGATAGCCATATGGAACCGTTTTAAATGTATCTACGACCAATCGTTTGGTGTAAACTGATCGAAATGTTTTCGTTTGTGGACCACTGGTGACTTTTCTGTCTCTATGTCTTTGAATGCGAGATGGATAATGAATCACGCTTGAATAATTATCTCTGTCTTTCACACAGTCTACCATCGTGTCGAAATTGACTTTTTGAGTTGTATCGTAGTCCAATGTGATACCTTTCACTTTACATTTTGTATACCTCTTGCCTTCTACAATATATTCATAGCCGTAATTCTTAGGTCCCAATGCGACGTATTTCACAATTTTACCTTCCGGTACTTCATCTGTCCATTTACCTAGGCGGCTATTGATGATAGGAATGTTATATTGATCAGGGTCGTACACATACATGCAGCTGTCTGTATCAAAGTAAAGCACCCGTTGACCTAGCTGTTCCAACTGTGCATAGAGTTCAAGTCTGGCATAGGCCGTAACAAAGGAGGCCACCACCACATTAGCCGATGAATGAGGTTGTGCTTGATCTGACTGATCTGAATAGTTTATCAAGATAAATTCATCATGGTCAAACATGTCCACATAATTCACGGTGATATGAGGATTCGTGACGATGTCATAAAATCCCGACACTGAGTTGACATATTCCGTTTTCGCTAATACATTGTTTTGTGCATTTTTACCCCATAGACAGTTCAGCATGGTTTTTGCAAATGCTCGTTTCCCCACATTCTTTTCAATATGTTCCAGCTCTATGCCTTCGGCCTCAAAATACTCGTCTTTAAACGTTTGCTGGTCCTCTGCGGTTTTCACCCAGGGTGGATACCCGCTGGCCTCTTGTTTCATTTTCAGGTACTTGTTAATGTAATTAGTGTACACTTGATCACTCCAATGCTCCCAGTGCCAAATATGATAAATGTCCATGATCTGATACCCTCTATCAAGCGCCTTTGCTAATTCGATGGACGTCCATGTTCCGACCAAGGCTCGATCCTCTATATCATGGTGGCAGAACGTACATTCTTTCTCAGCACATGTCCGACATAGTGTGAATACCATTTTCTTGTTACAATGTAAAGGTAGAATTGGCATCCATAAATCTTGCGGGGGTAGCACTTTACATTTAATGAGTCCTTTGTAAGTGTGTATCTGCTCGTTATTTATGTCTTCCTGGCTCAGAATGACAGGATGTCCCAAAGGATAGGCTTTGTATTTACATACATACGGATACAGTGAGCAAATGTCGGCATATTTGATCTCTTGCTGTGTACTTTCATCTACTTCATAATATAGTTGTACTGCATTTGTTCTCCCTCCGAATAGAGCCTCACGAGGTTCAATAGGCTCTAAATGTGGATAAAATTGATCTATGAGACTCTTATACTGCGGATCTTGCTTACAACGTGCATCGAAATCACACTCCCAAATGTACTTGATGGCCATCCCATAGCGTTTTAATGCATCAAAGCGCTGAAATGTCTTTCTGTACAATGAGCCCATACTTTCCATTGAAAACGGGTTGATTAAGTCTCGATTGGGATAGCATTTCAAACATCCATGGTACCAGCATCCGAGCATCTCGTAAATAACGTTGCTTTCTTCACAGAAGCCGTCTACATAGTGCTGTCCTATACGCTTTTCACCACCATTCAAAGCATGCTGTATGTGTATACCGTCTGTAACTGCCTCGCCTTGTATCCATCGCACACCTTTGATTGAATATTTGACTTTATTGGGGTACCCCGCATCTGATATGATGGCTAAACTTTGTTCAGGCATAGAGTTCTTTCTCCAAGCTTTATTGCATGCTTGTGCCAAGGTACATGCTTCTATGAATGGATCAATGTCATCACTGACCAGTAACTGGTATCGAAACTCGCCACACCCTCTTCTTAAGATATCTACGTCCGACTTGCAGTACGTCTCCATCGCTTGTTGAAAATCGAACATGACTTTGTTGTCGACTTTCTCATTATACCAGGCTAGAAACTTGTCTCTCGATTCGGGTTTCATACTTCCAGGTTTATAGTACTCTAGTGGCAAATAAGGACCCTTGTAAGTCTGGAACTCGTGCGTATTGGCCCAAAACGGAAACCATCCTTTTGCCATTTCAGTCAAACCAAATGTTTTTGGAAAGGCGGCTAGCGGCATGGTGATAAAACTCATAGAGTCAATGAGTCGTACTTGATGTGCTTCCAGCATGATGATTTTACTACCGTTCATGATCAGTTTCGGCTTGACTGTACCGTGTGTCACTAAATACCTCAATATAAATTGTGCATCATATCCTTGAGCATTATGAGCAATCGCTGTAGCGCCTTGGTGTATCGGTTTACAAAAGTCTTGTAAGGTTTGATCCCCACGAAAAATGACCTCTCGTTGCCCCGGCACTTGATCACATTGTATTCATGGTTCAGTGACTGCTTCTCTAATGCATTCATGACAAGCCCTCTGTGCCACACAGAAATTAGGAATATGTTCACCACTGTCAAATCGGCATTCAAAATCGTAAAAGATGAAAGGCACCTCTGGTTGCTTCTCTTTTTCTGGAGATTCATACTTTGGAATGTAGCACTCATGATCAGCATTCACCACTTGTTTACAGTAGTAACACTTTTTAGTCCCTGGACACAGATGCGATTTTCTTGTGCCTACGACCATTTGATTGCATTGTTTACACACCCATACCGATTGACATATATTCTTCTTATGTTTACCTTTTACTTGTTTATGTTTCTGAAAGCATTCATCACTAGTGAAAAACCGTAAACAATCCATACACTGTCTGTTTCGTACAAATTTACATTTCGTCGTAGAATAACACTGGCATAAATGTTTACATTGATGCTGTTCTTTACATTTGTAGGCTATATCACAATAATGACAATAATAGCATCGGCCTAAGAATCCCGTGATAGACTTTATCGTATCAAAATGTTCTTGATGAAAATAAATGTAAATGGCTGTACTGTGCTCTGTCATCTGCGGCGGTGTAAATAACATCTCGCAATTTGCGTGCTGTGCTCGTATTTTAATCACGTATTCTGGATACAGTATAGCTTGTATCTGCTGATATTCCTCGATCCCACATGGTTGATCGTATCGTATGCCAGCTTGATCCAATAAAGCTTTAGCTTCTGCCTCTTGTAACGGTCTGTCCGATTGTCGTATGATATGCCATTTTTTCTTCCATTCAGCGGTATCTTTTTTCTGAGCGTGGCATATGCCTACTACAATAGCACGTGCTAAACACATACAGTCTTTTGAATTTTTGATTTGAATGATACTTCTTTTCACTTTAGTCATATTATCAATACTTATATGTGATCCGAAATGCATATTACGTCGTCCGGATCCTTCAGGCATAGAAATATGTGTTATTTCAGCATGCATTTCTCCATCATGAACGTTAAAGCTGTCGTTACTCTGCATAACACGTTCAATTTCGTTGAGCAGCGTTTCCCCTGTCACGTGATTCACATCATCAAACGGAATATGAATCCCGAATTGTAAATCGGGATGTGAAATCGATATCCGTACTTTGTCTCGAGCTTTAGCACGGCACTGTTTTTTCATCTCCTCCACTAAGCTGTTGAATAAATCATGCGTAAATTCAAACGGCCGATCATAGCTGTCAAATGTCACATCATATACTTTACTTTGTGTCTTGAATTTTCTCGATTTTCTTTGCATTCTTTCTTTCATATGATAAAATTGACTGACTGGCCTCTCACCTCCATGTTGATTTTCATGATGTTCATCGCACTGATATTCCTCGCTATTATTTTTCTTTTCTTTTTTCTTTTCTTTTTTTCTTCTCAATAATCTTTTTTTACTTAGTGATAAACGATATTTTTTCATAGCCTGTGCCGTATCATCATCACTGCTCGAGTCACTTGACGAATCGCTTGATGAATCCGAGTAAGGAACAAGTCTTTTAGACATCTTGAGATACTGTGTTATAATAATTTCATACAGAGCGAGCCGCTCAGTTTTATACCTGCGAAATGAGCCGTGCCTCGGACGTCTATAAAAAGAGCGCACTCCGCTCCTCAGTATCAGTATTTGCTCTGACACAGCTCTTGACAGAACAACAACCATGGCTAACACAGAAAAAGATGTATTGTTACAAAATATGAAGACACATATACGTGCATTGAATACACTCATAGGGACATATGATAAACAATCGGGGCAGTGCTACCATTGTCATCAAGACGGACATTTTACGAGAAATTGTCCGCAGAAGAATAAAGATGTGAAAAAAGATGTGAATACAGGGGTGAAAAAAACATGCTATCGTTGCAAACAGCCTGGACATTTTGTGAGTGAGTGTCCGAAACCACGAAAACCGATCGATCCAGAATATTTGAAAACGGTGACCTGCTTCAATTGTCACGAAAAAGGGCATTATTCTCCTGATTGCCCTAATCGTAGCAAGAAAGACGATACTTCACCACCTAGCTTATTTGATGAAAACACAGTCAAGTATTACGGACCCACAGAAAAACAACAACAGTATTTTGGTTATGGCAGCACGATGAACATGGCACCACCACCACCACCGCCATCAACACCAGTAGCACAGTATTCATCGGATGACACCAAGCCAGCTCAGAAGCCAGCCACAGAGTCAGAATTATTAGAATATGAGGAATTCGCTCGTAAACATGGACATGGTGCCTTTGTATATTTTGATAAAATACATAAACGTCCAAAATCACCACTTCCGAAAGGACCAATCACACTTGGGACCTTACCACCCCAGCCATCAACACCGGTAGCACAGTCGGATAACACAGAACCAGCTCAGAAGCCACCCACAAAGCCAGAATTTGTCTATGACGAACCTCGATATGGTGACTTTGCATATATTGAAAATAGAGATAAACATCTCTCACTTCCGAAAACACCACCGCTAAAATGGACTGCTTTGGGGCGTGAATTTACCAAACCGACCTTCGATAACCAAAACGGTATCACACTTGCTACCTCAACCCCCGCAGGTAGTACCGAGCCGTGTACTACAACACCACCACCACCAACCAAGAAGGCGATACTGGAAGAATCAGACTATGAGCCATTACGCAAAAAATTAAGAAAGTCTGTGAAAAAACTGTTTTAAAAAAATGTGAACAATAATAATAAAAGAAGTGAACTAAAGTTTAAAAAAAAGTTGTGTTAAAAAAATATTTGTCAAGTTTTTAATTGTAAAAAAAACAATATTGTCAAGTTTATAAAAAAAGTTTAAAACATTGTTTATAAAAGTTTATAAAAGTTTATAAATAAAAAAAATGTTTATGTTTTTTTCATGTTGAAATAAAATGTTTATATAAATGTTGAAAATAAAAAATGTTAAAATGTTTTTATTACAATAAAAAGAACGATGTTTAAAAAAGTTAAAACGCATTGTTTTTTATTTACCGATATTGAAAGTTTACATTGACCTTTTTTAATACACACAGTTCCTAGAAATTTAAACGCGAGATGTGTAGTGTGTAGACTGATCAGTATATACATGTAGTAAACACAGGTTAAAAAATGGATAATGGAATATCTATTGGAATAATTTTTTGTAAGGTTAGATTTATGTTTGACAATATTTTTAAGGCATTTCTTTTCGAAAATAGTTGGATGGGCCCTGAAAAGGGCCGTTTGTTTTCAACCTAATAAAACTCGGATAAATCCGGGTATAGGTTGATCAGTTTCACCTTCCAAGGTTGAGAAGGCTTCAACTGTGAAGCCGTAACAATATTGTTAGGCTTCAACTGTGAAGCCGTAACAATGTTGTTAGGCTTCACAGCTCTTCTAGGCCAGTCCACCCCACGCCTGGCGAAGAACTCCTTGAGGGCCGTCTCCCTCTGTCTCTTTTCATTTACTCTGTAGACCCACTCAGGAGTCGAATCTCTCTTGAAGAAGAATTTCTTCATGGCACGGAATATCTTTCTCAAACCCATGGTTCTAGAGAAATGAGAAATGCATTTTCTCACTTGCCCCTTTTATAAGCATTTTCGGATTGACCTACATTCACATACATATTCACTTATTCTCACGCGAATTGTGAAATTGATGTCGCTGCACACTCTGAACATATTCGATTCAGAAAAACTTGCTATTTGATAGCTAACGTTCAAAAAGTTATATACTGGTCGGAGAGATAACTCCGACGCATAGATAACCCCAACACTTGAGAAATGAAATTTTTATAACTTTGTTTTTTAACAAAAAAAGCACATGGTCACCTAGTAGTATAGGAGCAGGGCAGAATGTGATGATTTTTTGTAAGTTGGTAAACTTTTTAATATTTTTCAATTAACCGAAACTTTTCGTTGGCAAAAACTGCTTCAAAACGTTCTTTTTACTAAATTACAATGAGGTAGTTAGAAATGTATTGACCACAGGCCACTGACTTGTGAAATATTTTTGAAAACTTGTTTTTACATCAACAAAAAATAGATAAAACATATAAGATGTAAAAATAAATTAATGATGCTGATTTTCCTATCATTTTTTACTTAAAAATTTAAGTGTCGACTTTATCTACTGTTGAGGGGTAAAAAGACCATGTTTTATATACCGCATTCAAGACCTTATAGAAGTACCAATTCTCATTTTCATACATAATTTTGTAGTGTAATGTAAAGTCTTTGAACTGAACTTTATTTAGGTGGTTCAATATTTAAAATATACAGGAAGATAATTAAGATATTACAAAAAGTATGTGATTTAGTGTTGGAGTTATCTCTCCAACCAGTAAGGGAATTTTTTTATCCATAGACTTCATTGATAACACATTCGATACCAAAATTTTATGAGGGAAGCTATTGGAAATGTAATGTTCGAGACTGTCGCCATTTTGGATTATTCGTGTTTGAGCTAGTGTAACCCCAAAAACCTATACAATTTCGGCAAAAAATTAATTTGTGCAGGAGTATGTATGTCTCCTTATCTGTTTTCGAAGCTTGACCCACTTGAAAAGACTGATCTTTGTCATATGTAGAATGTTTTAGAACTGTCGCCAAAATTTACTGACATCGGTTATGTACACGACTTGTAAATTAAGTGCCGCACATAACTGAAAATAACTTAGTAATCTAAGTCGTTTATATGTTTATTTACAATTAAATACTTATGGTACTATAGCCAGACTTATCTTTCTTATGATAAATTCTAAGAATTAACCGAGATTCTATTACTTTGACAGCCTGTGCCAGATGATGACTTAAGCATGTAATGTTCGCTACTTAAAAATTAGTACGTTCTATGCACTATTTCCAAATTAAGGAATTTTTAATAAATGATTTACATTTGGAGGGATATATAAATCTGAAAGAATTGTGCCCACGAATCTTTTAATATATTTATATACACATATGTCTGTAATGTACGCGACTGTAATGTCCAATACAATAAAAATGTAACGTGGCTTTAGTATACTTAATTTTCAATTAACCAGGACTTAAACTAGTCATTTTTGTGTTATACTTAATCATAGTTGCAGCATAAATGTATACATCCTTTGTATTTTTACAGTTATAGTCAAATTTTCTTAATTTTGTATAGGTAAGGCTTTAGAATCTAGTAACTGAATATCATATTCTAGTAACTACAAAAACAAAGATGTAATACGTTTAATATTTATTTTCTTCTAAAGCCAGAATCTTTATGCAAGGTTTTCTTACTGAAATTGTTAAGATATAGATTATAAGTGATATGCCTTTCATAATAGGTATTGTAATGTTCACTACATTTCGTATCGAACATTACTGAAATATTCTGATGGCAATCTATACATTTGTTAATGTTTTCAGCGATTTTGCTTTTGTTTTGAGAAAATATTCCATAATTATATATTGTTTAGATAAAGTAAATAGGTTTTTGTAATTTAAATGCGTAAATACATATGAGGCAATATTGTTGATTATCATCTAAATCTGTTTCAAACCCCAATAACGTTTCACCGCGTTAGTAAAAAAAACTAATATTATAAACATACATATAATAACTGAAAATATTACCAGATACTATTAACATAGTTGCTGACATGTTTAAAATATATCATCTACAATATTATACACATGATAGCGTCTACAACATATAACAATGATGTATCAAACATTACAATATTAGTATCGAACATTACACGCAGATCTTGAAAATTTCCTTCATCACTACAGTCAAGTATGGTGAAATCTGTATTAGAAATAAGTAGCAATTGCACTTATAAGTGTAGAAGAGGAAAAGACAATGTTGGCTCTTTGTAATTGAAATATTTTAAACTACGTAGGAAGCACATAATAATTAACAATTAAAATACATTTTATCTCAATATTGGCTACTAAGATGCCCTTTTTGAAATGTTCTGTTCAAATCTTAAAATTTGATGTAGCCTTAATAATATCAAAGGCATGAATTGTAATATATGTATTGTTATTCTGTACGCTGCATATATGCCCACGATATCAGTAAATATGTTTTATGACATTGATATTAATATAAGGACAGGTATATCACTTCTTTTGTATGCCGGATACATAGTTATACTCGTAATTTAATTCGTTTGTACAATATTATTTACCCATGCTATTAACTCAAGCTTAAATGAACACACTTAATAAAATTAAGTTTAAACTTAAAAAATGATTGTTTAATAAAATGATAATAATGATAACAACTATTACTATTACCCACAACAAATATTTTTACTGGATTACGTAATGTCCGAGACAATTGATGTTCTGTCAAAAAGACTCTACCACAAAATTTTAGTCATGTATTTTGTTTGCAAAGTTTTTTTTCGTCACGTTATCATTATTGAAGTAAGGTTTAAACAAAACATAAGAACAAATAAATGGAATCATACAATTGAAATCAATCATCAAAAATTCCGCATTTTAAATAAACGTACTTTTGTAGAATTGCTTTTTATTGCGTTAACTTTGCAAGCTCAAGAAAAAAATATTTCAAGCGTTTCATAGTGAAATATTTTGTTATTTTATACATGCAATGAATACATGGCAAAAATAAAGTTCTCTGAAGTGGATATGTTTAATATTTCTTATGAAATTCGGAATGTTTTAATTAATAAACTGGTAGTAGCGTACATTACAATAGGATAAATTTTACAACTAGGGTTGCTTCTTTCAGAGAGTAGTACTCGCAAAGTATTTGGTTGATGTTCAAAAAATTTCACAATTGTCTCATTTAAGGGTTCTACTTTTCGAAATTTTCGAAATTAGGCCCTATTAAGAAGATCGATTTTTTCGACTTTTGATCTGTCAATTTCACAATTCTTATGAGAATCAGTGATTACAGTTAATTTTATAAAATATTTAAAAAATGATTTGATTGGATTAAAAAATTTCTACAAAAAATCGGATTGACCTACATTCAAAATGTAGAAAAGTAAATATCACATCTAAAATATAAAAATCGGATTGACCTACATGCAAAATGTAAAAAATTAAATATGCAATCTGATTGGATAAAACTTACAGCAACTATTTTCAATACATCAAATTATTTTTTTGTTATAATTATAAAATTTTTTATACTAAACAAATTTTTAATATGAATCTATACTCAGTATACTATATGAAAAACGGGGGCTCTATATATTGACTCTAGTTTTATAAATTAATACAAGGGGCTTAGACTATAGATCATGACTTTGTGTGACAATATATTGAGGTATTTCTTTTCGACACTATTTGGGTGGCCCTGAAAAGGGCCGTTTTATGGCAAATGCCATTTACTGGCACTCACGCTCAGGGTGAGTGCCCCTGCAGGCAGGGCAGTACTGGAGCTTGGCCCACTTCTTTTTGCTTGGGCCAAGCTCCAGGTGGAATGCCGGTTCATCATCTGATGACCAGTCCTCCCCGTCTATAATGATGACATCGTCATCATCATTGACTGACTGACGGGGAGTCTGGACCTCCCGCTCCGGAGTCACCTCCATCCGTCTCCTCTCCTCTTCATCTCTTCTTCTTTGTCCCTCCTCCATTCTTCTCTCTATCTCCTGCCTCTGGATTCTCTCCACCTCCTGCTGCAGTTCAAGGACTGCCCTGCCCAGCCTACTATAAAGGGTCATGACCCTATCCAGCCTTGCCTCTAATTCATACGACATAGTGTTGGAAGTTTCTTTCACGTTCAGAAAAGTGAATGATGAACATAGACCGAAATCTGGCCTATTTATATGTTTCCTGCCGGATTGACCTACTTACCATAATGCTCACATCTAAATTGACAATATTATAACTCATCAACCAATCAAATTTAAGATTGTATTTTTTCTTTTGAAATTATGTGTCAGTAATATTTTTTCATAAAAAAAATGAATCTATAAAATATCAATAAATAAATATCATATAAAATTATTGTTTTATTAAAACTTATATATTGTTTTATTAAAACCTGTAGATCAAAATAGTGTTTATCACACTTATATATAGTAGACATATTCAAATATTGTTTATTATATAGCATCATATTAAAAAAATATTGTAAACATGTTAATTCATCAATACACTATATAACCCAGTTTAAAAAAGTGTACCGAGGTCACGTCGATACTACATTGTTTATAAACAATACCCCGATCTGTGTATTTTTTACACACAGGTTAAAATTAAATATAGCGAATTTTCGCTTTCTATAAAATGTAAAACATTATTTTATTTTTACATGGTCAATATCTACGATATCTGCATACATCATGTGTAATTTTAATATTCATATATAAAAAAACAAATTAGAATAATCGCAGGGTTAAATGAGAAACACTGTTAAACTCACAGTCTAAGAGGGTTATTTTTAAAGTTTACATTATTATACGGATAGAAAAAATCAATATCTATACATGTATGTGTTGGGCTGAATGGTATAAATAAGAAAATCATAGATTGAACCATATTAGTATTCATTTTCATATCATTATATCAAGTTTTTCATGTTCAAAGAAACACAAATAACGTTCAGTTTTGTGCCACGTTCAGAAAAGTTCAGATTAACGTAACGTTCGCTGATTGGTCAATTATTTACAGGAACGTTGTCGCAGAGGTCAATCCGGTTCACTCGTTCAGTTCACGTAAATACAGACCTTCGTTTTTATTTGACACATTCCTCCTTAGCTTCAGCATGGAAGATTTTACAGATATCTTAACAGAGGCGGCGAATTCGGCGCAAATTGTTCAAGCAGACGTGATATGTGATCCTAATTATATGGGCACACCGATTTAAGGTTCATATCAAACAGCAGACTATCAACAACATCAAGCGCAGACACCGAGAAATCAGTACCAACGCCCACAACAGCAGTACCAGCAGCAGCAGCAGCAGCAGCAGCAACAGCAACAACAACAACAACAGCAGCAGCAGCAGCAGCAACAGCAATTCAACAAAACCAGGGGTGAGATGGTGAAACTATTTCAACAATTGATTCAAGAAATGCGGTCAATGAACACCAATATGACCAATTTAGAAAATGCACTGCGTGAACGGACAGTCCCGCTGAAATTCAAGACAGATACCGTTGTCGTTCCCGTGGAATTCAAATACGGGGAAAACAGTCACCGTTCAGCGACTGATGACTCCAGTAAATCATCGGATAAAAGAAAAACTGATGTTGGTCTTGGTCTTGGATCTCATTCAAAGATGATGAAAAAGAAGTAAGCCGGTGGTGTTTTTCTCCCCTTATAATATTAAAAAACGGCCCTTTTAAGGGCCACCCTATTTTCATCCAGAAAGAAAATATCTTATCAATATTGTCATACAAATATCAAAGTCATTATATATATATAAGTCCCCTTAATTTCATATATAATTATATGTAAGTCCCTTAATTTCATATATAATTATATGTAAGTCCCTTATTTTCATATATAATTATATACAGTAAAAAATGTTCATAATTCACTGACATTAAACATTCACGTTCTATCATAGCTCTCGTTTGATTGGTCCATAACACCATGTCTTCTTTGTCATAATTGGTTATCATAATTTTTGATATCATGGTTAATGTAAAATGAGGTCAATCCGGTCCCGTGCCTATATAAAGAGCGGACTACCATCAATGTTCATCATTTGTCAACATGGCACACACCTTACCACACACCATAGGCAACATGAAGATGGTTGAAGAAAAGATTGCGGAGATTAAAGCTGTTGAATTCAAAAGTCTACAACTGTATGCTGAAGTTCATACACTAGTGGAACAAGAGATGGAAAGATTGATGTACCGTTGTAGAAATACAGAGACCATGCAACAAAATGCTCAGTCCTATAGAGAGAAGTCCGAAAGAGAGCTGAGAGAGGAAAGAAAAAAACAGAATGAAAGACAAAACAAAAGAAGAAGAAGGCAACAGCTACGATTCATGCCCTACTATGGGATTGTTATCCCTTTAGGGCATCATCAGCAACAACGGCAAACTGAACAGACCAGTACTGAACGGGCCAGTACTGAACAGACCAGTGCTGAACCACATAGTGCTGAACCACATAGTACTGAGCCACATAGTACTGAGCCACATAGTACTGAGCAGCAAACCAGTGAGCACACTGAACAACAGTGAATGTTTTATAGCCAGTGAAGTTAAAAAACAATAAAATATAAAAAAAAAAAAAAATAAAATAAAAAAAAAAAAAAAAAAGGTTCTTTTTAGAACCAACACAATTCTTCCCGAAAGAATATATCTTTCATATATTGTCAACCCTTTAAGTTTATATATACTGTATTGAAAGTACAACTCATGTATACACGATTCCTGGAATTTAAATTTGTTTACTTGGAAGTGTAGTACACACGATCAATATATACATGACAGGACAGGTTAAAATAGGGCTATTTTTAGAACACTATACTCGCATTATACGGTAAACCTGTAAGAGAGTTTAAGTACACCCTATCCATTTATTAAAGACCCATACGTGCCGTACGTTGCCCAGGTCTATAAAACTGTGCCATAATGTTCCCACATTTGTGCCATAAGTTTCCAACATTTGTGCCATAATGTTCCCACATTTGTGCCATAAGTTTTTGTGCCATAAGTTTTGTGCCATAGTGCCCCCCTTCACTACTACCGGTCAACAGTTCGCGAACGTGGACGTTTTCATAATTTCAGAAAACAGTAAAACCACCTAATTAAATGTATATAAGGTATCAGGTAATAAAAAAAAATAATAGCCAGTGAATGCGCAAAGGCAAACAAAATGTTAATACATGTATCAGTTTTTATTCATCCTAGCCGATAATTCTCTTGCCCGTTCAACGGCTGCCCTAAATTTATCTTCTGCATTCATATTCTGCCGCTTCAAAAGATTACTGTTATCCTGATTGAGTTCTATTGCAATTTTTGCTCCCAACCTTTGCTGTTGTCTGAATTTTCCCAAAGGCGACGAACCTTTTGTTGCGTTGAATTGATACAGTATCACTATTTCCTCGTTGGTCAGAATTCCAGACGGAGTAACAACTCGCGCAAACTCTTCTATTGGCATGATCGGAAATCGTATCTCAAACAATGCTTCTCCAAGTTGATCACGAATATTTTGTCCAGTTTTAGACTTGCTATTGACCTCACAATTGTGTTCCGCCCATCTCATTGCTGCTTTGAATACATACATTTCATCGCAAGCTAATTCGTCCCTTTTAAGAACATTTAACAAGGTTGATTGTGAAAATTCTAAAACGCCTAGCGAACAAAGAACACTTGTTGCGTTTTTCATAATGAATGCAAGACATTTATCCTGCAAAGTTTTCATCTGATAAATGGTAGCCTGCTCGTTTATTTGACATACATTATTTACGTCTACGTTATTTTCAAGAAAGTCGGAGCATAGCTTTTCAAGACCCGGTAGTTGGTATTTTTTCGCTGCATACAAGCATGGTAAAACATTATTGCCGTCAAGCTGTGGATCGTCCGAGTAGACAAACCTGAAATACAATATACTTATTAAACAATCGGAACGTCCTCGGCTATTACCTATAATAACCTCGGAAACAATACGAATTGAAAGTAGTTCTACCACATGGTTTCAGATGTAAACAAAAACAGAGTTTGCAATGTAAAACGAATGTTTATATTTGACATCCAACGGGAAAATGATGTTTCGGTACAATTAGGATTGAAAATATTTCTTACAACTCTTTTTTAATTTAAAATGCCCAGTGATTACAATATTAATCAAATCTGACCCTTATGTTAACAAGTTCGCATTTTGTATTTTGTACTTGCGGTTTCTACAACCATAGTTATAAATTGATAAATAATGTATTGTATGAATTCACTTATTTTAGGTGGACATTTACTTGATATGTTGGAAATAAACTTGTCAACAACTCCCAGCATTAAATCATTATTTGTTTACATGTTTAGTTTAGTAGGTTAGACCGAAATATCGCATTCATGTTCGAGGTCCTTATCCGAAGACTGACGAAATTGGCCGAAAAGTTGCGATTGCTAATTTAGGTCCCATTATGCCCCAAAAATGACTTTATTTTTATTTCTCAAAAGCTTTTACTTTTGATATACTCGTACCTTTATATTTTTCCAAAAGTTTCTAATTGGCCAATCACCAGAACTTTCATTTTCATCTGTTGTTCTTTGGCATTTAGTATAGTGGTTTAGAATTAAGTATGGAAGTGAAAATACCACTTTGCTTTACATTTTGTTACTTTTACAAATTTTTGACAAATTATTTCACATTAAAATACTACTTTGTTTTGTTTAACGACAAATTACTTCACATGAAGCGCTTCTTTCTTCAAGAAACAAGCATCTAACATGCTCTAAAACATTATTTAAACATTATAAAATTCATGTTTGCTTTTTCTAAAGTAAACATTTATTCATTTTAAAGCATAATGTGTCTTATAGATACCTCTAATGACAAATGGAAAAACTATTCAAAATGAAATAGATTCTTTTTTGTGCCTGAAATAAAGTGATATATATATGTAGCGTTATACCTTAATTGTAATGTTATGTTTAAAACCAATGACTATGATTTTCATTCATGTCAATTTTCATGAAAATTTTAGAACTGTACTTAAACGTTAAATATTGTGAGGTGAACAAATAAAGTAATTTACATATTGCAATCGGCACTTACAATCCACGAAAAATAATAATCAAAGGGCTGCAAGCTCTGTGGTATTTTAAGATTTATGCAATATAAATCGTACTGTATATCTGTATGTATTTTTCTGTATAAGTTTATTTTTATATACTATAATTCATCTTACAGGGCAGATGAGATGCAGCCACTGCGTTTAGATTTTTTACTATAACTGTTTGAATTTGATACATACGGAATGTAGTTGCCCCGACTGGGATTTGAACCGCATACCTTTCACACCCTAAACGAGCGCGTTACCCCTGCACCACGGGGAAGTAATACGAAGAAAGCCTGATTAAATCATATAATTCTAAATTTAGAATTTCCATTTCGGGTTTGTGATCTTTATTAATTTCAAGGTATTTTTTTCATGATAAACATGTTGTTTAACACTGATGTAAATAATTTATCGAAAATCTTCTCGCCAAAATAGTCTGACATGTATATATTCCACTATACTCGACAGTCAGATTTATTTGTGCGCTACGCTCTGAAGTATTCGGTAATCGAAATCGCTAAAAATAGCATTTTCATTGATTAAAATGATATTCATCCGCGTAATTTGTGATTGTGCATTTATTGACAATTCTATAAGCCAACGCTAATTTTAAACTTTGAATGCGTTGTAATTTGTTGGATACTTGTCACAAAATCAAAATATTTCTTTCTTTTACATCGCTAGTTTTAAGCTGTTTTAAGAACTACTTGTTGTATAAGGTTTGTCGTGAAATTTTGTGCCATAGATTTAATGTCAGCACTGTATTTCCTGATCTGCTAAATCAGTCTTAAACCGCACATAACATGGACAATATAACTTGGATCTTGAATAATTTTATCTTTCTTAAACGTTTAGTGCATTTTTCTCAATATAAATTAATAGATTTTTTAAAATAGTTTTGTTCATCTGGAGGCGTGCAGCTTTAAAACATTTTGCAGATCCATGTTATATTATTATAATACAGTCCAAATTCCAAACACCAGATGAGTTCATATTTTGTCGTCTATGATTTCAACAGTTTTTTTTTACCTTAAAACAGTCTTCATTACGTCAGGTTCGACATCTTCAATTAACACCGTTTCACCTCCTTCTGCAAGTGGACCATAAAACATGGCTTCAAAAACTTCACTGCGCATGCTCAGTACAAATTTATGAACCGGAAGTTTCACATCCTTATTGGTGCTGAAGGTAAAACTGATGTCAGAAAGATGTTCTGCGAGGCAAAGGTAGGATAAACTTTGTGCAGCCGACCTTGTGTCCCTCCAGTTACCTTCGGTTGACCTATAAAATGATAGTAATTGATACAATCGAATCTCACAGTCAATGCAAAACCCTTAGATCCAATATAATTATGCCAAATAAAACTTCTGAGTTTTCTGTAGTTGTGCAAATGTAGGTTCGAATATCTTTTTTCTAAGACAGGCTACTTTATACAGAATTTTGCCTCTTTATCCTTGGATAAATAAAGCCAAAAGCATACCATTTTACAAATTGAAAGACGTATATCACAAAATTTAAGGTAAATAAATGAAAATGAAAATGTATTTAAAGGTAAAATATTTTGAAATGAACAAAGAAAGTACTGGACACATTATAATCGGCACTTTAAATCCACATAAATTACCAAAAAGAGGTCAAAATATGCATAAATAGCCCCTAATGCGTTAGTAACGCAGTCGAAATATGGTGATAAATACTACAAAATACAAAATTAATTGCACATAAGATATAAATTATCACTTGAATCTTTAATTTGTTTACTTTTCTCAAAGTTTTATCATGCTTTTTCCAAGTTTAATTTTCTTGAACTATTTTGGGTCATTTTGAGGCATGCAGCTTTAATATCTGCAGATTCCCAAATAGTTAGGAACGACGTAAGTAGTATCAGTGAGTAGTTAACCCCGTCTCTTCAGATCTAGGTCAACCTTATATATTCTATATAAATCCGCCATCTTGGATTGTGGAGTCAATTTTTTAGTTATATAATCTTCAATGTAAGTGATGTCACGGTGTATTTGAAGATTAATCGCGCGGAACACAATCTACAAGATAACAATACGAGAGTTAACTTAAGTGGTATTGTTTTATTATCTGTAGAAATTATGATAAATTGTACAATTATTAATCGTTAGGGCCAGTAGATCTATGTTGAGTTTTCTATTGAGGTCAGTAAGTAAACCATGATCTTAAACTTAGGACAATTCGGTTTACACAGGACATACATTTTTCACTTTCGTAGAAATAATAACTTGTGTCTTGAATGGAGTTTTATTAACGCCTTTTTTCAGTAACAGGAAAAAAAAAACAATATTATTTTTAATATTTATTGAATTCAAATTATATACACATGACATTACATTCAACATTGCTGTCTTCTAAAGTGCAAATACATATTATCATGAATACAAAAGCAATTATAAAACAATGCAATAACTACCACACAGAGTTTGTTGACATAATCAAACATTTGTTGTGTAGTTTTAAAATCCGTACGGATATGATACATAATTTTCTCTGAGGACACGTTTATCAAACACTAACTTGTAATCTTTTCTTTCTGCTACTGTGAGCAGCTGAGCACTGTTTCTGTCCCTCGTAATTTTATGGGCATTAACTACCGATACTGAACCATCAGGACGCTGTGTCACAAAGCGTTCAAGAACGCCAAAGTTCACATTCAACATGTTTTTGTAGTTGAGAGTTATACCTCTTATTTTACAGTGGGTACAATTTCCATCTTTATCTGGGTTTTGTAACTGGTATCCATAATTTTTAGGCCCACCTGTCACAAATTTTTAAATGCGATTATTGACAACTTCGTTTGTCAAATCCCCTAGATAATCCCCTAGTGGTAGTTTTGTATCTTCCGACTTCGAAGTAAAAACTACGGAGTCTGTATCTTCATACAATGCCCTAGGACCCAAGTTTTCCAGATAGGAATAAAGTTTTAAGCGTGCCTGACTTGTGGTGTATGCCGCGATAACTACATTGGTTTTAGTGTTGGTTTCTACAAAGTTTTCCTTGTATTTCCAGCGCATCTCTACAGCATCTTCAGACACAAAATTGACCGAAGTGACCTCTTCACAATCCGACGTCAATTTGTCAAAGTATATAGCAGGATCGTTAACAATGTCCACCTGCTGCATGTTGGAGCGTTGACCAAATTTGCCCCAGAAAGAGTTTAGCATCAATTTGGCTAAAGCCTTTAGGCCAGGATTCTTATTTATTTTATGGTATTCTAGACGGATGCCTTCTTTTTGTTCATAAAGGTCAATATAGTGGTGTCTGTCTTTTTCAGTCTTGTACCAGTCAGGCCATCCACTTGCTTCCTGTTTAATTTTCAGGAAAGTGTTGACATATTCTGTAAACAGACCCCCTTTCCTAGTTATTGGATCATACATGGAAATTTTATTAAAATGCCAAATTTCATACACCTTCAGCACCTGGTACCCCATACTGACAGCCTTTTTAACTTCATCTACGACCCAAGTTCCTACAAAAGTTCTGTCCTCATCCACATGCTGACAAACCTCTTGTTGTTGAGACATAGCACACGTATTACAGAGGTGAAACAACAATTTACCATTCATCTTGCTCGGTAAAACGGGATTAAATAGTTGTCTTGGAGGGAGAACCTTGCATTTGATGAGACCCTCATAGTTTTCCAATGAACTGAAATTTTCTGTTATGATTTCTGGATGACGTAATGGGATTTTACCTGTTTTGTTGACCCATGGATAAAGAGAAGTCACATCGTAGTAATCAATGTCTTCATTGACTGAGGCCTCTTTGTACAAAGTATAGGCTTCTGTTCTTCCTCCATAAAAAGCGTCACGCGGTTCAAGAGGTGTCACCATGTCAAGGTTTTCAATAAAACGTCTCATGTCAGGGTCTTCTTTACAATCTTGGTCAAAGTCTGACTCCCAAATGGATTTGTAAATATAACCGTGATCTTCTATATACTTCTTCTTTTCCAGAGTTTTATCATACAAGTCACCCATGGTCATTTGACTTACAGGATTTAGTGTTGAGCGAGCATACTTTGAGGGATTAACATGCCAAAAATCGCCATGAAATTCTAGCACAACTTTTTGACCAGTGCCTGTTTCGTAATAACCGTCTACTAAATACGGACCAATATCCTTTTCTCCCCTATTTTTTGCATGCTGTATTTTATGACCTTGAAGGTGTGACAGGTACTTTATCCATTGTAAGGCTTTGACGGATTGTCGGTGTTTGGGGTTGTAACCATGATTTGGGATCAGTGCAATTGTTTCTGATTGAAGAAAATTAGTCCTAAATACTAGATTACATGCCGATGCAATGGTGATCGATTTTTCATAGGGGACAATGCCTGTCATGTACATAAAGTCCTCTTGGAACTTTAAGCAACATCGTCTCAAAATATCAACATCAGATCTGCAGTAAGCTAGTAACTCCTGTTGAAAGTCAAACTTATGTTTGTGGTCGTTGTACCATGTCAGGAATTTTTTTCTATCACCCGGTTTCATACCGTCAGGTGTATAGTAACTCATGTCGGGCAGTCCGTCTAAGATAACATTTTGGTTTTCTTTCCTATTATACAAATGTGGGAAGTAACCTTTCTTCAATTCTTCAAACCCAAACAGGGCGGGCAATTTCGCTAAGGCCATTGGTAAAAAGTTAATGGAATCGATCACATCGTAACCTTGAAAGTTATGACAAAGCACAGTGACCTGATAGTTCTCCTCAGAAAACAGCCATTGGCAAAAGTCATCTAAGGTATTCTCGCCCCGAAACACATGCTCTCGTTGCCCACAGCTCATACAAAACTCATCTGTATCCAAACAAGTTGTGCACACTTTCTGGACAACGCATAAATTCGGTTTATGTTCATAGCTACCGCAACTGGACTTTAAACAATGAACACATTTTCCATAAATATCTGGCGAAAAGCCATTGTCACATTGAACCAGATCGTCCTGTCTGCATTCAAAATCAAAGAATAGAAATGTTTTGGCATTCTCTATTTCATTAATTACTTCCTCTTCTATTGACATATCCTCTTGATCTTTGCACTCTCCATGCATCATGTAACACTGATGTCCTTCTGGATAGAAGCCTTGACACGTGTTACAATACATTTGTCCAAATCGGTGATTTTTATCGATCTTTCTGTTGACGGTTTTGTCACACCCATTACATCTGTAAATAGACTTGCACGTGGAGTTTCCTCTCGTCGTGACAACCATATGCAAATCAAAACATTCCTGGCCATGGAAAAATCGACTGCATTTGTCACAATGTAACCAGTTTGCTTTGACTTCATCGTGAATTTTCCTACAAGCGTAGCACACATTGTTACATTTATGATCTTCCTTGTGGTCGTATCCTTTATGACATTTTGTACAATAATAAACTCTTGACAGAAATGCTGGCATGCTGGTAATCACATCAAAATGGTTGCCGTGGTAATAAAAATAAATCTTATTTTCTACCTCCGGGCCCTTGTAGACAATCCCATTGAAGTGTTCCTGTGATATCACATGAATCTGATAATTCTGGAGGACTGTTTGAAATTGCTTCACTTCCTCCAAACCACATTTTCCAATGGGAACACATGCTTTTTCGTGCAGATCGCGAGCCATTGTTTCTTGCAACGAGTTGCCAGTTCGAATACTATTCCATTTCTCGTGTCTATCTAATCGAGCCTTTGCGGTGACGATGGCCCTGGCACAACAAAGATTGTCATCATTTTGAATCCTAAGGACACATTTTTTGTCCTGCAGAAATTTCTCCGTGTTTACAAAGTGACACCTTTTCCGACCACCTCCGTTTGGCATGTCCACTAGTGTGACTACAAAGATCAGAGATTCATCAATGACAAAGTCCTCATGAGATTGTAGGACCCGCTCGATTTCGGCCATGAATCGATCCACTGTGAGTTCATGTATCGTCATGAAGCGAAACACAATCGGTAGTCAAGTGACGGACTTTGGACAGTGAGTCGTACCAGGTCTTTTGATTTTGAACCTTTAGTAAGCTCCATAAGTATGGCTGTAAATAGTCTTTTTAAAGTGGACAACACATTATCTGCTACCTCTATGTCTGTGAATGTCACTTGATAGCTGGTAGACATTGTTCTAAATTTTGCGATACGTTGCTCCCTAAGTTTACTAATGGAATAAAACTGCCCAAGGTCATCTCCTTTTCTCACTCTTTTAGTAGGAACGGTATTGCTGTCTTCCTCCCTTGGCCTTTTCTGACCTGCTCCAACCTGATGTTTGTCAAACATATGTCGC